TTTTTTGTGACAGGGCCTTGCTTTGTCACCCAGGTTGGAGTGCAGTGGTGCGATTTCAGCTCCCTGCAACCTCTACCTCCTGGGTTCAAGTGATCCTCCCACCTCAGCCTCCTGAGTAGCTGGGACTGCAGGTGCATGCCACCATGCCTTGCTAAGTTTTGCATTTTTTATAGAGACTGGGTTTCAACATGTTACTTAGGTTGGTCTCAAACTCATGGATTCAAGCAATCTGCCTGCCTTGGCCTCACAAAGTGCTGGGGTCACAGGTGTTAGCCATCGTGCTTGGTCAATTTGTAGTTTTCTGAAGATTTGTGATGTTGAGAATTTTTTCTTGTATTTCTTGGCTGTTTGTACATTTTCTTTTGTGAAGTTGTTAAAATCTTTTGCTTTTTAAAAGAATAAAACAACTTTATTGAGATTTAGTTTGCGTAGGGTCATATATTTCACTGTTTTAAAGTGTATAAGTTGATGGTTTTTAGTATATTTACAGAGTTGTGCAACATTGCCACAATGAATTTTAAAACATTTTTATCACCTCAATAAGAAACCTGGTTCCCATTAGCAACCACTACCCATTCCTCTCCAATCTGCCACTGCTAGGCAACCACTCATCCACTTTGTGTCTCCACTGATTTGCCTAGTCCAGGCATTTTATAGAAATGTAATCAGATAATATGTCATCTTTTGTGACTGACTTCTTTCACTTAGCATGCCGTTTTCAGTATTCATCCATGGTTTGCTTGAGCCCAGGAGTTCAAGGCTGCAGTGAGCTATGATTGTGTCACTACATTCTAGCCTGGGTGACAGAGTGAGACCCTGTGTTTCAAAAAAAAAAAAAGCTACACTATATTGTAGTATGCATCAGTACCTCATTCCTTTAAATAATGTTCCATTGAATGGATGCATAGTATTTTGATTATTCATTCATCAGTTGATATTTAGGTTGTTTCCACCTTTCGGTTATTAGTATTAATAATGTGCTGGGATCATTTATGAACACATATTATTTTAATTGGGATGTTTGTCTGCTTATTATTGAGTTATGAGAGTATAAGGATTATTTATATATTCTGGATACCAGTTTTCGTCAGATATTTTCTCCATTCTGTGGCTCATCATTTTTATTTTCTCAGTGGTGTGATTTAGGGAGCAAAGTTTTAAATTTTGATGAAGTCAAATTTATCAGTTTTTTTCTTTTATGGTTTATGTTCTTTGGCTCCTGAGAAATCTTTGTCTAACCTAAGGTCAGAAAGATTTTTTTTTCTTTTCAAGGAATTTTATGTTTTCGTTCTTACATTAGATACATGGTCTTTTGAATGAATTTTGGTGTATGGTGTAAAATGAGTCAATGTTCTTTTTTTCTCCCCCAATATGACTATTTTTTCTAGCACCACTTTTTGAAGACTTCCGCCGTTCATCTTTAAAAAAAAAAAATCACTTCATATGTGTGTGGGTTTGTTTCTGGACTTTGACATTGACTTTTCTCTATTTCTCCTTGCAGTTGTATTGTTTTTTGCTGCATGTATTTTGAAGCTCTCTTATTGGGCATATATACATTTGAGATAATTATGTCTTCTTCATGAGTTTACCCCTTTATCATTATGAAATGACCTTTTTTTCCTTGGTGATATTCTTTTGTCCAAAATCTGTTTTGTCTGATGTTAGCATACTCCAGCTTTCTTTGGACTATTGTTATCATAATATATTTTTTAATTATTTATTCGCATCTGTATATTTAAAGTGTGTTTCTTATAATTAATATGTAGCTTGTTTTTTATCCATTTTATTAATCTTTTTCTAATTGGAATGTTTAGACCATTTACATTTAATGTAATTATTGATGTAGTTAGGCTTAAGTATATCATCTTGCTGTTTGTTTTCTGTTTGTCACATCTGTTTTGTTTCCTTTTTGTTCTTTATCTGCTTTCTCTTGAGTTAATTGAACTTTTTTGTGATTTTAGTTTGATTTTTAAATAGTTTATTAGTTATAATTCATTTTTTTTGTTTTAGTGGTTGCCTTAGCATTTATGGTATGTATATTTAACTTACCATGGTCTACCTTCCAGTGGTATTTTACCACTTCATGTATAGTATAAAGACCTTATCATAGTATGCCTTTGTTTCTCCTCTCCTGGTCTTTATGTTATTTTTGTCGTGTATTTTATTATATATGTGTTATAAATCCACAGTAATAAAATACTATTTTTAACTTAGTCGATTATTTCTTAAAGAGATTTAAATAATAAAAGTTATATATATATATATATATATTTATGTAGTTACCACTTCTGGTGCCCTTTATTCCTTTCTGTATATTCAGATTTCCATCTGGTGTCATTTTCTTTCTGCCTGAAGGGCTTTCTTTATCATTTCTTATAGTTCAATCTGCTGGTGATAGATTTTTTGGATGTCTAAAAGAATTTTTTATTCATTTTTAATTTCCTGTCTTTGGGTGGTCTAGAGCTAGCCACAGTTCACAGTGGCCTCCTGGGCATGTGGATCCACTCTTAGGGAAGGCCCCACACCTTAGGGTGTCCCCCACCCCTTCCCTGCTTCATTGATCAGTATATTGATGGAATTAGCTGTTAGAGAGGTTTTGATGTTTCTTCTCAGTAGGCCTTCTGTAGCTCTGGCTCAGATCATGCTTATGATGGGACATGGTCACTTGGTCCTGCAATGACAGTCACATTGTCTCCCCCCATGGCCAGAGCTTCCTTCTGTATAGAACGGCGTAGTGCCCATCATACCTCTGTCACTTGCCGTCTTGCAGTGGGACTTTCCTGAGTTGAGTCTCGGCCTGCTCCTCAGCCTCAGGCTGACTTACTGTTCCCCTGTACATTGCTCAGGCTGGTGGACTGTGGTGGTTTCGCTATCCTTCTGACTCTATCTTAGTTCTCTTGACCAGTTCTGCCTATAGTGGGATGCAGTCTCTCCAGCGCCTCCTTTCCTTACTCCCATCAAAATAAACATCTATAGGTCCTTCTTGTTTTATAGGTTTTATGGTTAATCAGCACAGGGAGGTAAGAAAGTAAAAATAATAAATGTAGAGAAATGTCTGACTTTAAAAAACTCTCTCAAGGCTTTCTGAAAGAATTTTTGCAGAATTTCTAGTCTGCACTTCCTCATTCAGTCACTAAGAGGCCATCAGATGCCTCTTTGGGCCTTTCTCTTCTGCATTTATTGATCCTTTAGTTCCCTTTGACTGCCTTGGGCTTTTCTTCCAAGCCTATGTAGGCCTGAGGAACCAGTCAGAAAATAAGAAAAGGGTTTTCCCTTATTCTCAAGCGGACATTTTCAAGCTCTGATGACTGCCAGACTACAAGATGGGGGCCTCCTTTCCTGTAGAACTCTGGCCTGCATTGGAATGGCCGAATTTGGGTATTCCCAGGTAGTCTCCATCCTCCTGGACACAGGTTGCTCAGTTTGTCTTGTGTCAAGGTGTGTTTACCTGCTCTTAGCACAATGCCTGGAACCTTGTGGTCCCTCAGTCAGTATGGCCCAAATGACCACATGTATTGTTTTTGTCTCCATAGGCAGATTATTGCCAGAGGGCTGCTTGATATCTTCCGGGACTTCAGTAACAATGAGGAGGACTTCCTAACAGTAATGGCAATCGTGGTCAGATTGTCAGAAGATGCAGGTTTGTATAAGTATTGTATAATTTTATTTTTTACTTATGAATTTTTAAGAAATTATGTATAACCAATAGTAGCTAATTAAAAAAACTTTATTAATTGATAAACAGTTATAATTAATAACTTTTAAGCAATTTCTAACCACGAATGGATTTTGTCATGAAGAATGGGTGTCTTATTTGAATTTTGACTGAAATTTTCTTACATTTAGAAAATCAGAGTGATTAATGGCTGTGAATACTGTTTGCCTTGGCATTTAGGCCTTTTGTATTTCTTGAGTTTTGCCAGACTACTGGTTGCTAAGAAATGCCAAATCGAAAGAAGCCTCTTGGGTTAGAAAATCTGAGTCATTAGTTTCCCTCAATGGGAATCTTGAGTTTTCTTTCTCATTCTACCTCTCCATGATTGGTGTTCTGGAAGAAAAGCACGTGGCTGTACTGCAGACACGATGATGTTGTCTTCCCCCTGCCCCAGTAGAGATGAGTTAGATGGGTAAGTGGTGGGGCTGCTGGTACTGAGAGCTGTGCTGCAGCCCCCTCCTCCCTACAGAATGAATGATGAAAACTTCAGAAAGCTTCAGGACTCTCAGGCTTTAGAATTTGATCATTTTAACTGAAAATGGAAAAATAAGACTTCCGTATTAGCTCCCATATTAGTTTAAAATATTCATATGAATATAACACAATGCTTTTAAAAAGGCCCAAGTGGATGTTTTGCGTCTTTAAATGGATTCTCTTTGTAAATGAGTCACCATTTACAGTGCTGTAGCAATTATATATTTGTGTTAAATTTAATGTGGTATATTGGAGCTAGAGCCGCTCTTTTGTTTAATGCTTTGCCTTAGAAATAATTGGGATGCGTGGATTGTGGGGGAGTGCATTTATGAAAAAATTATTTATAATGTATACATTCTGGCTAGAATTTCAATAAGCACAACCCATAGGTCTGGCATATAAGCCATTGGTTGTAATGGCTCTTGGACGCCGGCCCAGCATGCAGACTTCTTGCTCCCTCCTCAATTTATATATGGCTTGTTATAATAGAGTTATCATTCTCTCTTCTTTTTATGTTTTTATATTGCTGTATAGCTCATTAGCTTTTTAAGCCTGTCTGCAGCATAAATACTCTAAATGGGAAATGATTTTTAAACTGCATTTGTCTAATTTCTTTGATGAAGTATTTTAGTAAGAAAAGCTAGAAACTATCAGTATATACTATGTAAGATGCTTGGCTTATTCTTTAATTTTTCTAAATTTTTTATTGCTGCAGAGCCCACAGTGCGGACGGAGCTGATGGAACAGATTCCTCCTATTGCCATTTTTTTACAAGAAAACAGATCAAATTTTCCAGTGGTGCTTTCTGAATATCTCATACCTATTGTGGTGAGGTACCTCACAGATCCAGACAATCAGGTTTGAAAAATTATAACCTTAAGATCTTTTTAGCAAATGCGCTTTAGTCTTGCTTTAGCTGATATTCATAATTCAAAAAACAGCTTCTTAGAGTTAAGTGATTTGAGAACAAGAGATCTACCTGTGTACGGTTCCTCTAGTCATGTAGGAAGATAGCACTCATTCTTATCATGAAATCTTTCTTCTTTTCGTTTAACATTTTACTATGGAAATTTTCAAACACACGTAACAGTAGAGAGAATATGAAAATGAATGCCTGTGTGCCCGACACCTAACATCAACTGTCATTAACATTTGACCTGGCCGGGTGCGATGGCATACACCTGTAATCCCAGCACTTTGGGATGCTGAAGCAGGTGGATCACCTGAGGTCAGGAGTTCAAGACCAGCCTGGCCAACATGGTGAAACCCTGTCTCTACTAAAAATACAAAAATCAGCTGGGCATGGCGGCATGTGCCTGTAGTCCCAGCTGCTTGGGAGGCTGAGGCAGGAGCATTGTTTGAACCTGGGATGCGGAGATTGCAGTGAGCCAAGATCATGTCACTGCACTTCAGCCTGGGTGACGCAGTGAGACTCTTGTCTCAAAAAAAAATAAATAAATAAATAAAAAGCATTTGATCAATCTTTTTTCATTTATCTTGTCCAGATAAAATCCAATCCAGACAAAAGAACTTGCAGACACCATCTCGTTTCAGCTGTGAATACTTTTTAGTATTATTCTCTATGAAATAGACTCTTTTTAAAAAACGTAATGATAATATCATTAATGCAAATATAAAAATTGTCAGTAGTTATCTAACATCATCTAATGTCTAGTTGTTGGTCCAATTGCCCAGTTTACTCATAGGTATTTTTTTCTACACAGAGGCCGTTCAAACCAGAATACAAACAAGGTCCACACATTGAATCTAGGTGATATAGGTCTCTTAGATCTTTTAAAATTTATAATGTTGTCCCTCCCCACTTTTTCCCCTTGCTATTTGTTGAGGAAGCCAGGTCATTAGTTTTATGGAATTGCCCATATTTGGGATATGGTTCATTGCATCTCTGTAGTGTTCAGATGCTGCTCTACTCCAGGCATTTTTTATAAACTAGTAGCTAAGTTGGAAGCTCAGCTAGTCTCAGATTTTCTAGTTTAGGGAGAATGCTTTGTAGGTGGTTTGTGTTTTCCTGCTACATCGAATCCCGGGGGCACAGAAGCCCTGGATGGTTATCTTTTCCTCATGCTGAATTTGGCCACCTTTTCTATAGAGTTCCCTATCATTGTATGAGCAACCACTGGTGATTGCTGCCCTGATCCGGTATCTCATTAGTGGCTGTAAATTCTGACATACTAATTCCAGCATTTCTTTTTAGTTTAATAGCTGGAGTTCTTCTGTAAAAACTTCCTCTATCAACTATTTTATAGCCCCGAAAACCTGTTTGGGTAGGAAAGACAGAATAAATGCTTTATTTTATCCCTTTATTTACTAGTTTCCAGAATCATCGTTGGCATTTTAATAATCTACAAAGATTGCCAGTTAGGTTTTAAAACTTTGAGTATTGTTAGGAACTCCTGCATTTGTGCATAGTAGATATGTTTTCAATCTGTTGTAGTACTTATTCTTTTTGATGATCAAGTTGTCCCAGCTTTGACCAGTTGTACCCCTTCAAGTTATTTACAGAATCTTTTTAAACATGACCCAGTACACTGTGATATTGCATCTCTCCCTGGGATCAACCATTTCTCCAAGAACCCAGGTTCCTTTATGAGGTAAATAATAAAAAAACGGAATGTGGGTACTGGGGGGCACTCACTCGTTGCTTCTAGTGACAGAACAATTTTTTAAAAGATAAAAATTCTTCAAGTTTATCTTGACATTTCCAACTCAAATTTAGCATTATAGGGGTTTTACTTCTTTGATTTTATAGTTGTATCTTTTTTCACTTGCGTGATCTAAATCCTGCTCCTTGATGTCATTAGCATACATGTATATGTCTGTGTATCCAAAATAAAAATCCTAGTATTACAACATGATGGGGTTACTGAACATAGCTTAAGACTTTTTCATAGCTCCAGACTTTTTCATAGCTCCTTTGTTTTTAGGCCACGTCCTTCTAGAAGTGCCCAGTCATATTCGTGTTACTGTGTTTTAAAGTCACTTGCATTAATCCTTCTGTTTGTGGTTAAGCCACCAACCTGATATATAGTTATTCTCATTTGTTTTTTTTTATTTTTAGGAATTGCCTTAGCTTATACATTTTGATTTATAATTATTTAAAATGTTTACTTGATTGCAAAGTCAAAACTGTAAAACAAAGCACGTTCACAGAAGTCTGACTTCTATCCCTGGTCCCCACTTCTTCTCCCTCCCCTGTAGGTAACTGTTTCTTTTAGTTTTTGCTTCATTCCTGAAACACATGCACACACACGTAAACAACTGAGATGATTCTTTGTGTTCTGCACGGCCATGCCCCTTTCTCTGGTGCGGGGAGCTCCCTCTTCCTGCTTCCCTGTCCCGTGTGCTCTGAGTACCCCGAGAGTAGGCACCAACATCTGCAGCGTCCTCACTCCTTTCCTTGCAGTGCAGTACCCGACTGGGGGAACAGAGCAGAGCTTACTGATGGACATTTGGGCTATTTCCAGACTTTTGGCACTTTAAAATGGCTGCAGTGAATAGACTTGCATCATTTCTATTTGGGCTAGTGTATTTGGGGATGGCTTTCCACAAAGGGTAAATTTATTTTATTTTTAATGATATACCATGTTTTCACTATCATTATTTTCAAGAGATTCTAAAATTTATTTCTCCCTTGATCCAAGCATTTTTAAAGGAGCAAGTACCCATTTTTAACTGGTAAGCAGTGTGACAGCATTAAGTGGAATTTTCAAATAAGGAAAAAGTCCTGTTTCTACTGTTCTAACAGTTGGTATTTTGATTATTTTCGCATTTTCCTCTCTAGGTGCCAGCGTTCTTTTCCACATAGGTCTAATCATAATGTGATACAATTTCTCCATTCATTCATTTATTCAGACAGTTTCTTAGTGCCCATTATGAGCCAAGCACAATGCTTCATGCCTGGGGATAGGGAGCTGAGCAGTACGGATTTTCTGCTCTCAGAAAGCCGCATATTAGACGCGGTAAAACACTATTTCCTCATCATCGTCATATTTTTAATTTTGTTGAATACTTATATTTCATTCAGGTTGTGTGTGTGTGTGTATTGTAGATGCATTGAGCATTGGAAGGGATGTGGTTTTGTTCTTTTATTGACTCTTCCTTTGGATTCATCTTGAAAATGAGAGTACACTGGGTCAGGAGGTTTGACATTTCTTGACCTTTGTCCAATAGCACTGCCATATCTTCTCTTCCAGAACGGCAGAGGCAGGAAGCTGGTTTTGACCCCAGGATCTAGTGTGGTGCCTGACACCCATTCTGTGTTTGCTGAAGAGTCTTATTCATGTCCTCAGCAGGCATGCCCATGATCAGCCCAAGCTGTATCTGCACCCAGCCTCCCCCGCACCCGAGTTGCTGCCCGCCTCCCAGTGCTTCCAGATCTGCCGCACCTCTGCGCATGCACTTCCACTCCAACCACAGCTTGCCCTCCTTTCTTTGCTCCCCCACCCTGGGCCTTCCTGCCCCAGCAGCCGCTGGCTCTGCAGCCACTATTGCCTGCCTGCATTTACTTCCTGTTGTTCCTCAGCAGCTCCCTCTCTCGTTCCACCCTTTCAAGTCTGTCCATGCCATCACCCTCTATTTACTTGTCCTTTTGATACTGCTTCTGCCACACTGACTCTGCCTGTCCTCCCCAGCCCCTCGGCTTCCTCCACTGCTGGTAGCCGAGCTTGGCAGAGGGAGTCCTGTCATGCATTGATTGGTGCCGTTGCAAATTTATGGGTCCCAGTTGCGGCTGGGCTTGCAGCGTTGCTTGGCAGTCCTTCCCCTTGTCCCTCATCAGCTGCATTTCCCATTATCCTTGGCAGTTCTCTTAGACCTTTGCCACTTTCATCAGGCCTCCTCCCCTCTCCCTTCCTTGCGCCAAGCAGGTGACCTTGCCTTTTACATCGCAAAATAGAGACCTTCAATCTTCATCCCCTTCTCCATGCAGGGAACCACCACCTACTTCACACACTCCCCAGAGCCGCCACCCAGGAACTGACAAGTCCTTTCCCCTCACCTCCTCCATCCAGTTAGAGCCAGCCGGGTCTCCTTTGTTTCCATCAAAAGAACCTAACCCCTTGAGGGCATCACTCCTATTCATTCCCACCAGTTGTAAACAGAAAAGTGCAGAAATTCTTTCTCACTGAATTCTGGTTCTCTGAGGCACAGCCTAGACTTCTTCCCTGGCACCTGTCCCTTTCTGCCTTTGACTCTGCTGGCATCTGCCTGTCCCTTCTGTTCTTATGATTCTGACCATCTTGCCCTTCCCAAATGCCCCCTCCTCTCTTCTGTCAGTCTCTGGCTTCTTTAACAGATGTGGATTCTTGGACATCCACAGTGGGGGCCCCTGAGAACACCTAAAGGTCCCTAATTAGGATTCTTAATTCAGCAAAGACGAAGATTCTTGTGCATGTGGGGATGGGATGGGTGTGCTAGGTCCCAGCCAGCATCTGCCTCAGTAGGCCAGCTGGCCCTACTCTGTTTATCAGCAAGTACTTTTCATGGTCACTGAACATGTGAGGTATGAAATGACAGCGTTGGGGGTAATATCGATGCTATTGCCAGGACTACTGCCAGCGATACAGCTCCCCTTTCTTGAGTCGTCTCTGTGCTCTAGGGCTGTGCTTCAGGACTAGCTTGGCTTATCTCCTTTCCGCTTCTTCACCCCCCTGTGAAGTATGGGTGAATTGCTAGTTAGGCAGAGAGGTATGGTTGTGGGTGCTGAGCAGTAGCTGGGCTGGAGAAGGCAGGAGGCTGGATGTCTGGTTTCATGAGGCTGTCTGCTGTGTGCTGTGGGACTGGAGGCTTTTCTAAATGTTGTAAGCTGAAGTGCCTCTTGCCTTCTTGAGTGAGAGCCCAGGATTGTATTTTATCGGCTTTGGTGACCTAGCACAGGATCTGGCACCTGGTAGTTTTTTTTTTCAGTAAAGACTTGTAGAACTGAATTAGCTGCACATGCTGTTTGATAACGAAGCCAGATTTCTTCAGTGCTCCTGAGCTCCTCCCCTCTGTCTCCAGTTGACTCAAAACGCTACTGCCAGGGTGATCTTTCTGAAATACTGTTTTCATCTGTCGCCTGGTCAGAAGTGTTAATGTCATATTGCCTCTGTGGCTTGAGTCTTTTATAACCTTTGATAACCTGCTGTTGACTGATCATCTGTGACTCATATATACACTTCTGGCTCCCATTATTATTTTTCTGCCTTTTAATCACTGTGGTGAATTGCATATTTCATTATTTTATCTGTAAATTGGAATTTTATGTGTTTTCATTTCCCCAAAAATGTCTCTTAAGCTTCTTTGGACCCCTCTGAGTTCCAGTGCTTGCTCATTCCCATGAGACTGCAAAGAACAAGAGCTCCTCAGCCTTCTTCTTCTGTGGACTGGGAAGCCTTTGTTTTCTGTGGGAGTGTCCCCCTTTGTCCGTGGCTCTTGCTTGGGCTCCTTCCCTGTGTGTTCTGTTGTACCAGACATAATTCCAATCTTGTGTGTGGCATGCCAGGGTTTACAAAGTCGCAGAAGATGCTGCAGTGTTTTCCTGTCTCTTTGCCTACAAAGGAGAAAAGGCGAGAAGTCATCCATTCATTCAACAGATCCTTACAGAATGCAAAATTTTGTGCCACAGGCTATAAGGTCCTGAGGGTGCACTGGAGGACAAAGGACAAATCAGATGTTGTACCTGCCTTCTGAGTTCACTCTCTGCAACAGGAGAGACAGGTGGCAATTATGAAATCACGCAGAAAAAAAAGCCTCTATATGTTTGTATGTATGTAAATGCAGAAATCTGGAGCAAGAGCTGTGGAGGAAAAAGTCCAGGGCACTAGTCAAGTATTGTTTGGGGACCTGCTCAAACAGGGTCCAGGAGCAGAGGGGCTTTGGGCTGGAGCAGAGGAATGGTAGCCAGTCAGGTAGAGGGAGTGGCCTACTCAAAGGCCTCAGGCAGGAGGGGCAACAGAAGGCAGGAATATCCAGTGCCCTTCAATGTGTTTAGCTGGGGAGGTAGGCAGGGGCCGGCTGGGCCCCACGCCTGCTCAGTGGGGTTGGTCTTGATCCTGAGGGCACTTCTGCTCACTTGTGCTTCATCGTCTGCTGTTTTTTCTCTTTTAGGTTAGAAAATCAACTCAGGAAGTACTCTTGATTCTTCTGGAACAAGACCTTATTTTCCAGTATGATATTGAAAACACAGTATGTCCCATTTTGCTGCAGCTCTCTGCCCTGGACAGTGATGATGAATATAAAGCAGAAGCCGTGAGCGTAAGTGTGTCCAGGGAATGACTGCCCAGCACCTGTGGGCACTGTCCCATAAGTTCACTTATACCTGACTTGAAGTGTTACAGGTGTTTGATTTTGGTCAGCACTGTTCTCATGAACAGGGTAGCCAGTTACTCGACCTAGGTTGGAGAAAGCTCACAGTTCAGCTCTGAGCATGTTTTGGAAGTGAGCATCCTTATAGCACCAATTGTTTAAAGAAGAAAAGGCTTGAGAAATCAGAGTGATGTGGGCTTAGCAGCAGCAGCTGGCTTAGATTTCTGTTGGACAAGATGCTGAGATTTATAGGGAAATCCTTGAACCTGGACCATGGGCTTTCTTTCTCAAAGTAGGAACCCTAGTATGGTATGTGAGATAATTTCAGATAGTACTTAGACAATTAAGAAGAAAATTTAGTAGACTTGTATGTCTGTGGATTAGGAGAAGACTAAGATAGGTATGTAAGCAGGTTAAGAAGAGTCACTGTGGAGGCTGAGTGCAGTGCCTCATGCCTGTAAGCCCAGCACTTTGGGAGGCTGAGACAGGCGGATCACCTGAGGTCAGGAGTTCAAGACCAGCCTGGCCAACATGGTCAAACCTCGTCTCTACTAATAATACAAAAATTAGCTGGGCAGGGTGGCTCACGCCTGTAATCCTAGCACTTTGGGAGGCCAAGGTGGGTGGATCACCTGAGGTCAGGAGTTCAAGACCAGCCTGGCCATCATGGTGAAACCCCATCTTAAAAAAAAATCAATCAATCAATCAAAAAGTTAGCTGGGCATGGTGGCGCTTGCCTATAGTCCCAGTTACTCAGGAGGCTGAGGCAGGAGAATCGCTTGAACCCAGGAGGTGGAGGTTACAGTGAGCCAAGATTGTGCCACTGNAAGAAGAGTCACTGTGAAGAATGCAGATGTGGGCAAACCTTTACAGGAGTTTGGGAGATGCTGTGTTAAAGTATTTGTGCTTCTGTCAGTCAGAGATGTGCAGGGAAAGGAATGGCATAAATGCTCAGTGTCTTCTAGTTAATAGTGTGGTATCCTTGGGTTTGCAAGATTCTGTTCCCATTGTTAAATTATTATACACTGGGGACTTTCTACTCGCTTCTGGAGCCCTTGTTCACAAACCAACGGTTGATGAGCCAGTGCTGGCTTTTCCTGCCTCAGGTCCAGATGTCTTCGTTTGTCCTCACGCCTTTTCCTTTGTGGCTCAAGGGGAGGTCACCATGGGCCATCTTGTTTTATCTGGCTGTTGCTCCTCCACTGACCCATGCAAATGATGCTGTATGGCATGACCCTTTCTGTTTGCCTTATAGAAGTAGATAGCTCCAGGATGATTACAGCATTTTGGGAAATTTTTGTCCATAAAGGATGTAAAAACTCATAAGCACTCATTATGAGTATAATAAAATACATAGACGGTAGTTGTTTTCTTGTTTGGGAAACAGTGACGTTAGTGAAAGGAATTATTTTCTTTTTTAAAGTGCAGAGACATTATACGCCATGGAGCTAAAAAATTATATTACAGCATCAGAACATTTGGCAATTATTCTTCATTTATGTAAAAGTTTTCTTCAACTATGCGTTAAAGGTCTGGCTTTTGAAACTAATTTAATTTTTTGCATATTCCATATGTTTATGAGATGAATCAGGCTGAAGAATAATTGATTATTAAGATTCAAATTCTCCAGGGTTCTTTTATAAATTTCAAGTTTCTCTATAAGAAATTAAATTTATTTTGCAAAATGAACCTGGATAATATCATTTAGTTGGGGTATTTGGCAGTTGAGCAGTGAACTTTGCCAACTAGATCTTCTTTTTCATTTGGAAGTCGGTTAGGCGAGTTTCCAAGGTTACGACTGACAACCAAATATCTTATCCCTAAAGACTGATAATACCATGAAAAATAATGCTAATGGCATTTTTGCATGATTTTTATTTTGTTTTCTTTCCAAATACTCCATTCTTGTCAGCAATCTTCTTCTTTTTCTTCTTCATTTTTTTGGTAGAAATATTTGGAAAATATAACAAGCCTTCAAAAAGCTATCTCCACAAATCACTTGCAGACCAAGTTAGTTCACAGAAATTGTATTTTTCATTCCAAGTGAGTTGCTGGTGTCATTACTTGAATGGATACTATTTGAACTATGGCTGTAATAACAGAAGTGATCTTGAGCCTCCCACCCACCGTGGCCCAGGCTGAGTGCTTGACTGTTTCTTCCCAGTGTTCCTGCAGGACCTCTGCTTCTCTTCCCGTAAATATCTGATGGGAGTGAATGTGGGATGTCTTGTTGGGTCCATGTGTGCTTTGCTCCAGTTATTTCCCCAGACCCTGGAGGCCAAGGGGCCTTGTGGGGGGACTTGACCCTTGAGTGCCAGACAGCTGCGGAACACAGTCTCTTCTTTTTAGCTAGCAAATGATGATGTGGGTGGAGTAAATTACAGCGTAGGTGTCATCCAAAGAAGAGAAGGCCACCTGTGTACTTTGTAGAGCTCCCCTAGGAAGGCAGGGTTTTGATTTAGCTGGTCTGTAGGTGATTCCCCAAACATTGCAAGTGCCAGTGTGTATCTAATAGGAGGTGATTTGGGGAGCTGTCGGCTAAAAGGGTGATAGATGAGGAAAGAAGCAAATTGGGCTGGTCGGATGTCCTCTGTGTTTTGGGGCTGTCTTTGCAGCCAGATGGTGTGAATATTGCTACATCTGTACTGTACATAAACACACGCCTACTCAGAGCAGTGCTATTTTGAAGGAAGTACCTCCCTTCGCAAAGAGACTGTACCTCTTCATGGACAAAATACATCTGTTCATTTGACTTTTCACTCTCATTAGAACTTACAGTTACTTGATTCTGATGCTAACAACTCTAGTGCATGTATGATTGGGAAAATCAAAGATAACCAACTGCGTGTGTCCTGGGCATTTTAAATTGAGTTATGCAGGACAGCTGACGTCTTGGGACATGGGTATATGGAATCCTGGGAAGGAAAATATATGTGCATTTTCCTTTGTGAAGTCTTTCTAGAAACTCTGTGTGATGTTAGTGACTCTGTCCTTGATACAGTCAGAAGAGTTTACTCTGTCTGTCTTCTGTCACTTAGCAGTTGTGTTGTGAAGTTTTGTTTGTTTATGTCTCCCTCAAGATGGTGAGCTTCTAAAACACCAGGCTGCGGTATCTTTGCACCATTGGCAGCCAGCACAGTGCCAGGCCCAGAGTCAGTACTAAATAAATGTTAGTTGTTGGATGAATGAATCGGTAAAAACTGCAAGAGCTGTATCTTGTAATTATATCTAGACAGGATAAACAGGCCACTGGAGACCAATTATAATTCCTCTTGCTTGCAGGGACACCATTAGCATTCCGAGATTATAACTCATTGTCAGAAGCCTGTTTTTCTCTCTCAACACGTTTTCACATTAAGGCTTCCTCATTTTTTGTCATCGTTTCTATTTTTAAGCTCATTTTAATTTGTACATTTATTTAAGAAGAATGTTGTAGTTATGTGCTATAAAGAATAGTTGGCTCCAAGCAACTAAGTGAAGATCGTCATTCCATACAAGTGGTTCCCAGGGCCACGGGAATATCATTTCTTGTCACTTGGTGTGCTGACAGTTAATGATTCTGGCTTTATTTTATACTGTATAGTAATAAGGTCGTGCGGGTGTGGCAGATGGAGAGGGGTGGATGGAGATACTAGGAGGGCTTTAGTTGCCTGTCACCCTGGATAAAGAAGCCTCACATCCTCATTTATTGTGGCTGTCACTTTGTGCAACTCCGCTAAGCATCACATCAGAAACACGTGTCCTCTATGTTCTGAGGACACAAACTTTTTCCTTATTTGTGTTATGGGCTAGTTTCCCCTTCGCCCTGCCCCCTTTGCTTTTCTTTCCCCTCACCTTGTGTGCAAATTCCAAATAGAGTGATGGGTGGATTACTACCCCAGGACCGTTTTTCTACTCTTAACTTGGCAGTGCTGTGTATATAGTGAGAAGAACAGGCTTCAGAGACAGGAAGTCCTTCTTACCCCCGTCCCTGCACTTCTCCATTCCTTCCTTCCTTCCATCCCTTCCTTTCTTTTCTCCCCATTTCTACCCTTCTCTCCCCTGCCTCACCCTCTTCTCTTCCTCCCTCCCTTCTCTTTTCCTTCCGTCCTTCTTTTGTTCTTTCCTCTCTTTCTTTTTACTTTCTTGGGGGAATGGAAGAGTTCTTCTAGTTTTGTTTTTGGCCACTTTTCATTTTGTTTCAATTTCAAACTTGCAAGAAAGTTGCAAGAATAGTAATATGAATTTCCATGTACCTCTCTCTGGCGTCTTTAGTAATTTATGTTTAGCTCCATTTGTTTTATCATATTTTTTTCTCCCTCTCCTCCTCCATCTCTTCCTCTCTCTCCACACACACAGACAGATGCATATTTACTGTATTTATTCCTTTCTGAGACATTTGAGACTCAGTTGGAGGCATTGTCCCTCTTTACATCTAAATACTTCATGTTTTTAATTTAATTTTTTATTGTATTAAGGACAAACAGTGGTATATATCTAAATACTTGAATGTATGTATCCTAAAAGCAAGGAAATTCTCTTATATAACCATAGTACAATGATCAAAATAGGAAAATTAACACCGATACAATGCTGATGTAGCCACAGTTCATATTGTAAACATCATCATTTGTCCAGGGTCACTTGCTGCACTGAGCTGTCATGTCCCTTTGGTTTCCATTAATCTGGAACAGTTCCTGAGTCTGTCTTTGAATTTTGTAGCACTTACATGTTCAAGAGTACTGGCCACATTTTTTTGCATAGTGTCTTCCTGTTTGGCTTTGCCTGATGTTTCCCTGTGATTGGATTAAGACTCTGTCTTTCTGGCAGAATTATCACAGCAGTGATGTATTCCAGTGTGTCATGGCAGGAGGCACAAGACTTCATCTTGTCCTAATATTGGTGATGTTAACTTTGATGACTTAATAGATAGACATAGGATCTGCCAAATTTCTCCGATGTGTTCTTTTTTCCCTCTAGAAGTAATGAGGAGAGTTACCTTGAGACTAAGTGTGCTCTTCTCTGTCAGACCCTCACCCAGTAGCGTTGCTCTCTATTGATGATTCTGGGTGGCATTCTACTGTGCTCCCTTCTCCATAATTTCCCACCATTTTGTTGAGGGTTTTCATATCGATATTCAAGAGGACAATTTTCTTTTCCTGTTATGCCTTTGTCAGGTTTTAGAATCAGAATTTTTCTGGCTTCAAAAAATGAGTTAGGAAGTATTTCTTCCTTTTCTATTTTCTGAAAGGTTTTATTTAAGATTGGAATTATTTTTTTCCTTAAACATTTGTTAGAATTCACCAGTAAAACCTCTAGTCCTAGAGTTCTCTTTGTGAGATGGTTTTTCATAATAGATTTAATTCAGATATAGTGCTATTCAGATTTCTTCATCTGTGTTACTGGGTAACATGTACATTTCAGAGAATTTATTAATTTCATGTAAGTTGTCAAATTTATTGGGTTAGAGTTGTTCACGATATTCTTTTATTATCTTTTTATTTTTATTTATTTATTTATTTATTTATTATCTTTTTAATGTCTGTAAGATCTGTAGTGTTATCCCCTTTCAGTTATGATCTTGGTAATTTGTGTTTTTTTTTTTTTTTTTTTTTTTTTTTTCAGTCTTGCCTAGGAGCTTTTCAATTTTATTTATGTTTTCAAATCAGTTCTTGGCATTCTTGGTTTTATCGTTTATTTCTTTTTCATTAATTTCTACTTTTTATTATTTCCACCCTTCTGTTTTCTTGAGCTCAGTTTGCTTGTACTTATTTTTAGCTTTTTAAAGAGGAAACAATATTTTTAAGTCTGCCTTTTCCATTTGAAGCACTTAAAGCTACACATTTAATGTTAATATCTGTGTGGCATATTAACTTTTACATCATTAAGAAATGTCTTTGACAGCAATACATATTTACAATCACCTATGATTGTAATATAACCACTCTGGCATTTTTATGCTTACTGCTTATTATAGTATATTTATTTATACTTTTTTACCCTCAACTTACATGTCTTTAAAGTGTTTCTGCTTTTGTTAGCATCTAGTTGGGTCCTGCTTTTATATCTAGTCAATAGTGTCTGCTCTTTAATTAGTGTGTTTAGCTCATTTATATTTAATGTAATTATTGATGTTTGGTTTTATTTCTGCCATTTCTGTTTGTTTTCATTTGTGTCATCTTTTTTTCTTGTTAATTCTTTTCTGTTTTCTTTTGAGCTAACAAATGTTTTTTAGCTTTGCACTTTAATTCCTCTATTGAGAATTTTCCAAAAATATATCACCTTGCAACAGTGTAGTTCATTCACTTACTTAGGTTACTGTTTCTCTATGAACCTCATCATCTCCCCTGCACATTCACAGTTCAGAGATCAGCCAAGGATTAGGGTAGGCTTTAATCACAGGTTTTGGAGCTTTCCTTTCTTTGGCTTCCTTCTTCCTTCATAGTAAAGCTGTAGCTTTAAAAAATTTGTATATGTATGATGTATTTATTTCAATAGCTTTAGGGCTGCAAGTGGTTTTTGGCAATGTGGATGAATTGTATATTGGTGAAGTCTAGGATATTAGTGTACACATCACCTGAGTAGTGTACACTGAACACCAATAGGTAGTTTTTCATCTATCACCCCACTCCAACCCTCTCCCCTTCTGAGTCTTCAGTGTCCATTATATGACTGTGTTTGCCTTTGCATACCCATAGCTTACCTTCCACTTATAAGTGAGACTATGGGGCATTTGATTTTCAATTCCTGAGTTACTTTTCTGAGAATAATGGCCTGCAGTATCATCCAAGTTACTGCAAAAGACATTATTTTGTTCCTTTTTATGGCTGAGTAGTATTCCATGGAATATATATACCATATAAAAATATATGTATATATATTTTTTCTTTATTTTGAGATAGCATCTTGCTCTGTTGCCCAGGCTGGAGTGTAGTGGTGCAGTTTTGGTTCACTGCGGCCTCGACCTCCTGGGATCAAGTGATCCTTCCACCTCAGCCTCCCAGGTAGCTTGCTGGGACTTCAGGCATGTACCACTACACCTAGCTAGTTTTGTTTACTTTTTGTAGAGACACATCTCACTGTGTTGCCCAGACTACCACATTTTCTTTGTCTTTTCATCAGTTGATGGGCACTTAGGTTGATTCCATATCTTTGCAATTGTGAATTGTGTTATAATAAACATATCCATCCATACAGGTGTCTTTTTGATATAATGATTTCTTTTCCTTTGGGTAGATACCCAGTAGTGGGATTGCTGGATCAAATGGTAGACCTACTTTTAGTTCTTTGAGAAATCTCCATAATGTTTCTCATAGAAATTGTACTAATTTACATTCCCACCAGTAGTATGTAAGCATTCCCTTTTCACCACATTCATGCCAACATCTATTGTTTTTTGACTTTTTAATAATGACCATTCTGGCTAGGGTAACATGATATATCATTGTGGTTTTAGCTTGCATTTGTCTGATAATTAGTGATGTTGAATTTTTTTTTTATATGCTTCTTGGCCATTTGTATATCTTCTTTTGAGAAATGTCTATTCATGTCATTGACCCACTTTTTAGTGTAATTATTTGTTTTTTTTTCCCTTCTGATTTGTTTGAGTTCCTTATAGATTCTGGATATCAGTTCTTTGTTGGATGCATACTTTGCAAATATTTTCTCCCATTCTGTGGGTTGTCTGTTTACTCTGATGATTATTTCTTTTGCTGTGCGGAAGCTTTTTAGTTTCAGTAGGTCCCATTTATTTATATTTGTTTTTGTTGCATTTGCTTTTCGGGTCTTAGTCATAAATTCTTTGTCTACACTAGTATCCAGAAGAGTTTTTCTTAGATTTTGTTCTAAAATTGTTTATGGTTTCAGGTCTTAGATTAAAAATCTTGAGTTGATTTTTGTATAAAGTGAGAGATAAGGATCCAGTTCATTCTTCTCCATGTAGCTAGCCAGTTTTCCTAGCACCATTTATTGAATAGGGTATCCTTTCCCCAGTATATGTTTTTGTAGGCATCGTCAAAGATCAGTTGTTTTTAAGTATTTGGCTTTATTTCTAGATTCTCCATCCCATTGCATTGTTCTGCTTTGATATATTACCATGCTGTTTTAGTTACTATAGCCTTGTACTGTAATTTGAAGTTGGGTACTGTGATGCCTCCAGATTTGTTCTCTTAGCTTAGTATTGCTTTGGCTATTCTGACTCTTTTGGTTCCATATGAATTTTAGGATTTTTTTTTCTAATTCTATGAAGAACGAATTGGTATTTCAATAAGAATTGTGTTAAAGTTGTAGATTACTTTGGGCAATGTGGTCATTTTTATGATACTGATTCTCTAATCCATGAACATGGGATGTATTTACGTTTGTTTGTGTCATCTGTGATTTCTTTGAGCAGTGTTTTGTAATTCTCTTTGTAGAGATCTTTTACCGCCTTAAGTATTTTATTTTTTTTTTTTGTAGCTATTGAGTTTTTGATTTGATTCTCGCCTTGCTCATTGTTGGTATAAAGCAGTGCTACTGATTTGTGTACATTGGTTTTGTGACCCAAGACTTCACTGAACTCACTTATCAAACCTAGGAGTCTTTTGGAGGAGTCATTAGGGTTTTCTAGGTATGAGATCATATTGTCAGCAAACTGAGATAGTTTGACTTCCTTTTTTCTGGTTGGGATGCCATCTTTTCTTTCTCTTGCCTGATGGCTGTGGTTAGGACTTCTACCTGTAGCTTTTGCTTGACGTCCAGCTACCCTTCATAGCCATGTAGAATGGGAAGTACTCTCAGACAAAAAGCAGCACAAATGCAAAATTTAATCAATTTCTTTTTCTTGTAAGGGTCTGTTCTTTAGTTTCTCCAGAATTTGATCATTTTCCAGTGCTTGCCATGTCCTGCTGGCACTGGATGGCGCACCTCCCCACTGGTTGTGTTTAGTCATGTTGTTTACCCTCTTGCAGCATTTCCTCTGGGAACATGAGGATAAATAGCACCCATGTCATAGGATTCTTGGGAAGATAAAACGAGTCAGTGCACATAAAGTTGGCATGTTTGTGTATTGGGCACAAGGTGGGGACCTGGCAGATGGTCACTCTTGAGCGTCAGACAAATCCTTATCCAAGTCAAACTGTAGCAATGTTGGGCCTGCTGTTGATCTTATAACCTGACGAAACTCAAAAGTAGGTGTTTTTTATTTTTCCTTCTTAGGTATTTTGGGAATATTTTGAATACCGGCTTTTGGAATCTATCCTTAGTGCTACGTGTGACTTACATGTTTTGGTATTTTAAATGATTTGAATTTTTCTTTTGTTATTTATAGATAATCTGCAAAATGGCTTCCATGCTGAGTAAGAGTACAGTTGAACGCCTGCTACTTCCTCGATTCTGTGAACTGTGTGGTGACGGGAAGCTCTTTCAAGTTCGGAAGGTAGGAATGTAAGAATTCCAAAACTCCTAAAGTTAAAAAATTCAAACTTGATTTCTCTGAAGTTTTTGGACTTCTTCAGTAGACACAGTCTGAGGGAGAAGTGTGGTCAATGTGAACTGTGTAAGGAAAATAGCTGAGCAGTGTCGTCGGGTTTTACTGCAATTATGAGGTGCATGGAGATCAGGAGATAGGCGTCTGTGTGAGTAAACCTGCTGCTCCCAGGCACAGGGTGAGAGTTAGGGGATCTTGCTGGATAAGGTTAGATGCCCAGGCCTGCAGGGTCTTTGATTATCTGTCGTGATTTGATCCAGAACCCTCTTATCTTTACTGTACCTTCCAACCCCAAATTCCCTTTTAGTCACTTTTCACTTGGTTGTCAAATTCTTCCTTTTTTTTTGAGACGGAGTTTCGCTCTTGTTACCCAGGCTGGAGCGCGATCTCGGCTCACCGCAACCTCCGCCTCCTGGGTTCAGGCAATTCTCCTGCCCCAGCCTCCTGAGTAGCTGGGATTACAGGCACGCACCACCATGCCCAGCTGATTTTTTGTATTTTTAGTAGAGACGGGGTTTCACCATGTTGACCAGGATGGTCTCGAGCTCTTGACCTCGTGATCCACCCGCCTCGGCCTCCCAAAGTGCTGGGATTACAGGCGTGAGCCACCGCGCCCGGCCCAAATTCTTCCTTTTGAAGTCTGTTACCACCCCTCCCTAAACAGCCTCCTCCTCCACCTTTCGTGTAACTGGCCATCACCCCTCCGGTCTCTGTTGCTGATACACAGGCAAGACAACAGGTCTCCTTTACCATGCAGAGAATGTAAAAGGCCTCTTTTGCCTTATTGCTAACCAAATGCATTATGTATCAAGATAAATTAGGAGCCAGAAAATCCTAGAATTTGGCACCTTATTGTAAATCTGTTTTTGATGCTGTGGAGGCACTTAGCATGGTGCTGTGTGGGCGATGGGCTTGGTAAGGGCTTGTTAGCTGCCTGACTGGAGGGATAATTGCTCTCAAGTTTCCTGCTTGTTAGGTTTTTACAATTTGTTAAGACAAAAAGAAAGATGAGAATAATGGATATGCCTTTTGCCCTTTTAAGGTTTGCGCTGCAAATTTTGGTGATATTTGTCGTGCTGTTGGACAAGAAGCCACTGAGAAATTTTTGGTACGTGACATTTTGGCCAAATATAATTATTGATTTGCTTCTTAATGCACTTTCAAAATTGCTTAAGTTTTATACTTATGAGTCTGTTACTATGGAACGGCAGCTTAATTTTGCATTTGTTAATTTCAGATTTCTTGACTTCTAAAGCTAACATTTTCCTAAGCATTAGGTAGCTGGTCTGTGGCATGGTCTGGAAGCAACCACCGTCTTCTTTCCTGTGGGCTTCTTTCCTGTCACCTCCTTAGAGGTCATTTTTCCCTGGTTTCTTCTCACTGTGCAGGCTGCTCTCTCTGTTCTCTCTCTGCTGCTCTTTCTAGAAGACTACTTTGCCACTTCACAACTGGGCCTCAAAACTGTTGGGATTTTTTTCTTGGTTTACAGGTTAAAATCTAGAGCCTTCTGGGCCTTCCAGGTAACTCTGTAGGTGCCTTTTCTGCCTCGCCTCCAGTCCTCTTTCTCAATTGTGAACACTCCCCTGGCCTTGGGGGTGGGGTCTCACCTCTGGCCATATATCTGAAGCCCGGGGAAGGCCCAGGCCTCTGCATTTTTGATAAAGTCCAATACGATTCTGATGCACAGCAGGGGAGAGATCCACTTCCCAGGCAGCCAGGTGTCTTCAGCATCCTTGAGGCTTCCTGCTCTTTCATACGTCTGGGCCTCTGCTCACTAAGAACATCTTCCCTACCTGATGGCACCTTCCTCACACTTCCGACCCAGCTTGAATTGCCTCTGTGAAGTTCTTTCCTTGTCTAGGCTCACCTCCCTGCAGTGCCAGAGAGTCAGCTTTTCCCTTCTCAGTATCCTAGTAGCATTTGTTCAGAGGAGCTGATAATACTTTTGTGATGAGGAGCTTCTTAAGGACAGGGACCTCATTGTGTTCATCCTTGTTTCCTCCGTGCCTACTCTGTCAGTACCTGGCACCTAGGGAACCGTGCTCAGTAAGCATTTGCCTCTTTTATTTGACAGAATATACTTATCGTATGGGTGAGATTTTGACCTCAAAAAGTTTAATCTTTAAATTGATTTTTAAATTTAACTTCAGAAGCTCATTTTATTTTATTCTAAGCATAAGCCATGCCAACGCAGTTCTAACCCAAGAAAATTTTTAATGGGCTGTTGCTTTGAATATACAGTGAATGTTAACTTCTACTTAATATATCTGAATGAAGAATGGCAGTGAGTAATATGCTAATCATTCGTAGGTAGGTATTGCCATGATTATATCAAACTCCCATTTGCGAAGCACTGTAGGCTAATTATTTTACATTAGGATATTAAAGACAAAGTCTTTTTAAAGGATAAATTTTAAAGGGGATGTAATCATGACCTTTATAGAGATATGACATGATCATGTTTCAAAGATTTTATTTAAGTCATTTATTAATGAGGAAAACCAGTAAGATATTACAGCCAGTTTCATGGAGAACTCAAAGGACTACACATTTATAGTCAGACCAAGGAATACTGAAGTGAACTTACAAATGAATTCAACATTGGTCAGTATCCAGGTTGATAATTGATTGCATTTCACTGGACACAATTTGCATTTCTGTTGGCAGGAATTATTTGCATTACTATCAGGTTTTATCAACTTCTATCACTTCAGAGTTGTAAAAGAGCCTAGTCAGAGACAGTGATACCTGAATGGGTGAGCTAGTTGGAACATCCAGTGTTTCAGAGTCTTTCACAATCTTCTTTACAATTTTCATAACAAATACCAATCATTCTTCCCTTTCTGGGGTTTTCTCTATTGTCTGTTAAAGGTAACCCCAAGTCAGTTACTAAAATTAGGAGGTAAAGGAAATGTTTATTTCTTCCACTTTTCATCATTTCTGTTTGTTTCAGAGGATCCTTTTAGACCAGTATATAGTTCCCTTTTCTTTCTCATTAATTTCTGGATATGCCTTCATGACTTCATTAAAACAGGTTCCAGCACTTTGGGAGGCGGAGGCAGGCAGATCACTTGAGGCCAAGAGTTCGAGACCAGCCTGGCCAACGTGGCGAAATCCCATCTCTACCAAATGTACAAAAAAATTAGCCGGGTGTGGTGGCACGTGCCTGTAATCCCAGCTACTTGGGAGGCTGAGGCAGGAGAATTGCTTGAACCTGGGAGGCCGAGGTTGCAGTGAGCCGAGGTCACGCCACTGCACTCCAACCCGGGCGACAGAGCAAGATTCTGTCTCACAAAAATAAATAAATAAATAAGTAAAATAAAAAAAAAAAAAATTTACAAAACAGGTTCTGCCCTTCCTCAGGACCTCCAATTGGAGTAGCACCGTTTTGCTTGTTTTGGCAGATCCCAAAGTTCTTTGAGCTCTGCTCAGATGCTGTGTGGGGCATGCGGAAAGCCTGCGCGGAATGCTTCACGGCTGTGTCGCACAGCTCCTCCCCTGAGGTCCGCAGAACCCAGCTCTCCCCGCTCTTCATCAGACTTGTCAGCGACCCTTGCCGATGGGTGAGTGCCTGCAGCACTGTCCAGACACTGGCATCTGTTGACCAACTGTCCACCTCCGTCTGGCTTCCAGGCTGGGATTCACTTCTGCACTCGTAACTTTGTATTTTGTCCCTTCAGTTAACAGATTGGTATAATCAGATTTAGACCTTGTGAGGTGAAGGGAAACTAAAATCTCAAAAGCTTTGGGGTGAATTAACATGATGATGTACACCATAATATAGTGAATGAATGTCATGAAAATCTTAATTGAGAAAGAGAAAACTGTGTAACTGAACTGTTACGTTTTCTGTTGCTATCATAAACACGTCTGTAATGATTAATAAGGTCTGTTCAAATACTTTATGTATTATTCATATAAAATTAATATTCTGGAAGAATGAAAGCAGTATAATGGGGCTAAATTTTTCCTTACTTTCTGTTGAATAATAGTTTATTTGGAATTTAGGGAGTGATTTAGACAGCAGTAAATCTCCATAGATGTATTGTGGTAGAGAGTAGCTTGTGTGGTGTTCAGCCATCTGTTTCAGCCTGGGATCAGGCCTGGCCACCACTGCTGGCTGATGCTGTGTTCGTTCACCGTGCTGTTCTCTCTGGTTCCAGGTGCGCCAGGCTGCCTTCCAGTCCCTCGGCCCCTTCATTTCCACCTTTGCAAACCCCTCCAGGGCTGGCCTTTATCTTGGAGAGGATGGTACCCTGAGCATCTGGCCACTCACCCAGGATGTGGACTCTGGTTTTGCCTCTGGCTCACCCACTCCCAGAAGTGGTGGTAACACTTCCTCTGCCAGGTATGCTGTGGCTAGGTGACCACTGGGGCCCTCAGTGTACCTTAAGCACCCACCTAAAATTTCAGCAATTATCTATCTTGTCTTGAGTTTTAGTAAAAGTGACCTTCTGGGCAAGATGGAATATTAGGGCTTTAATTATGTAAAGAAGCAAAAAGTAATTGCAATAATGATTTTGAAACATGACTACTGGGTTATAAATAATGAAGCTTCTGTGTCTCCTAAATTTAGATAAAATATTCATTGAGATTAGTGATTAACCTGTAAAGAAAATTTTCTTTTACTTTTTAATTAATGAAGTTCTCTGGGCAATTTACATAGGGAAAAATGTGAAGCCTCCCAAATGTACTTTTTTGGATAGATGGGTTACATGTACATAAAGGTGACACTCCTGACCAACATTGGTAGACCCTCCAGTGTTTGTCTAGTATCGCTCTTGACCTGGGCTTTTCTTGTCTTTCCTTTGAGGCTGATGGGTATACACTAACCATCCTATTTGAGGTCATTTGTAAACACCTCTCCATTGTTGCTAGTATGCAGGAGTATAAGAGTGGGTAACTGATGCCTCACAGAATACAGATCCTTCCAAGGCTGGCCCATTCTCCCCCCATCCCTCTTCCATCAGAGTTCATTGAGCTCCTGCTGTATGGCAGGCCATGGGCAGTGTCTTCCTCAAGACCTCAAAGTGGTTAACAAATAGCCAGCTCTTATCCATTTCAGCGCCTTTAATTTTCTAATGCCTGCCCCCTGGTGGAGGTACTCACCAGCAGGAAATGGATGAAATCTGCCAAAGGTGCTTCAGCAGAAGTTGGGGCTGCTTCAGCCCTGGGATGAAAGTGGAGGCACTGGCTGAACTTTCAGGTGGTGTTTGCAGTGCCCTTCATACTCCCAGCAGGGCAGTGGGGGTTGACTAAACCTCCTGTCCTCGTGAGATTTTAGTCTGCTGACATCAGGAGACACGAAGAGGGGCAAGTGGTCAGCCAGGAGATGGAGGGCTAGGTGAGGACGTGGATCTCATGTGTTTCCCTATGACTTTCAGTGTATTACACAGTGCTAAAAGCTTGCTTCTCTCGGTTTAACTAGTTCAACAAAGCCTGTGCAGATGGAGCCAGAGCTACCTGAGGAAGGTACCTCAGCGAAAACCAGTAACTTCTCTCCTATCAGTAGCTCTGATGGCCTAACGGAAAACCCCGTGGAAAGCTCAGTGTTGGCTGGGGCTGAGTTGACCAGGCTTTCCACAGAGGCCAGTGCCTTCTCAAAGCTTTCTGATATCAATGACCTCCCCATCAGCAGCCACCCTGGATCAGATTCCTGGGCCTGCCCAGGGAATGCTGAGGATTTGTTCAATGATTTTCTTTATTGGCGAACTCCTCTCCCTGACATAAGCAAGGACTTAGAGCTGTTTCTGAGTGAGGCTGGGCCTCAAGAGGATGACTGCAGCAGACCCAAGACTGTGCACAACAGCTGTGTGGCCCAGAGTGAGATCCAGAAAGTCCTTGAGAGTTTGCAGGAGCATATGCTGAATGATCCAGATGTTCAAGGTAAATGTTGTTGATTGTTGCTGAAGAGAAGATGGGATGTTTCTGTGCTGTGTGTTGCATTTTGCCATTTCCTTCTTCTGCTGCCCTGTGTGCTGATGCATGTGCATGTGCATCTATGTTCATTTATACTGTGCGTGCATTGAGGGGAGAGACTTGGTTAGTCTCAGCACAGCTCGAAACGTCAGCAATACCTCTGTGCAGATACCTATGCAAGGATTTTGCTTCCTAATTTTGCAGGTGGACGTGCACACAGTCTGCAGTCAGTTCTAATAGAAAAGTGGATAGTTCGTGGGCATCTCTGTAGCAGGAGAAATTTTATTAGCTCCTTGGACACACTGTTACATCATCTCCCACATAGGATGCCCTTTCTAGTTATGAACAACCAAGGATGGCGCTCCTTTTGGAGCCTATTAACGCAGTCCTTAGCTAAACTTTAGGGTTCGTGTCTTTGTACAGGAAAGAAAAGTACAACTACTTCTTTGGGGTATTTTTCATTTGATGACTAGTGCTTCCACTGAGCATCTGATCGGGGAGCCAGACCTTGCAATCCGTATCCATTATCGGGAGTCTTCTTTCTCTGAACAGTGCTATATTTGTATTCTTCCTTGAGTTGGAGAAATTGGAAAAAAAACAACACTTGCTGCTGTTGCTGGGCAAAGATTTGTGAAGCTTTCGGGAAGGGAAATGTGAAAATTCCGTTAGCCCTGTGATTATTCTTTGTCCTTAAATTTATGAAGGAAATTAAATCAGTGTTTACTGAAGGAATGGGCACACGTAACATACCACTTCTAATAGCCATAAACAAAGGTCTGTTTTTGGAAAACAGTACTGAAGCTGCCTTAATCCCCAGTGCTAAGACCTGGGTTGGGGGCTGGGCAGTGATGACTGGCCCCTGAGGCCTTTGTGAGCTGGTTAAGGGGATTGTGTAGGCGGCCACCTGGTAGGACATGGCGAGGGCTGGGGATGGAGGGGATGCGATGTGCAGAGGAAATGTCTGGGAGAGACCCTCATGTAGCTGGTGACATTTGGCCTGGGCTTTAGAGATTGACTGAGAGCCCACCATTCAGAGAAGTCAGGGGATGAGTTTCAGACGGTTCTTTCAGTTCCCTGAACTCAGTATTTGTAAAATCTTGAATGTATGTGCATACTTAATTTCTTTGTAAGAAAAGGCCTGTAGCTTTCTTCAGAGCTCAGAGGGATCCATGATCCCAGAAGATTCAGAAATAAGTGATGCATTTTATTTGTGAAGTGGCTATGGCAGGCAGGAGATGTCACTCAGGCCATTGGGAAGGGCCTGGTGTGTGGCACTGGCGAGGTGGGACCTGTCCTGGGCACAGCGCAGAGCCAGCTACAAGCTCTCACTGTTTTGATGAATCTTGGAGTCCACCAAATTGAACTATTAGAAGCTGGATGCAGGAAGTAATGTGTGTGTGTGTGTGTATGTGTGTGTGTGTGTGTGTGTGTGTGTCTTTTGGGAGGTTGGGGACATTAAAACATCCAGTTTATTTTTACGAAAGGTATGTGAAATATGTTATCTTTATTGTTCAGAGAATCTCAAACAGTCATACTCTGGACAGAAAGAATGGGCAGCCTTTGGGGCTGAGTGAGAACATTACTCATCTGTGTGTAAATGGATGTCTTCATGCATGTGTGTGTGTATATGTGAGAAAGTAGCCGTCCTGCTTTATAAATCGGGGAGCAGGATACCCTTCACTGAGTGGGTGGACCTCCCAGTCATCCTTGTTTAGTGACATCATGCTTTCTTTCTGTGAAACATGGTGGAGTCAAACTTGGAGTTTTCCTAAGTGAGACTTTTCAAGTTCAGGTTTGATGTTCTGTACATGGCTGGCATTTAGTTGAGATAGTTATTATTAACGGCCGGAAATATCACCACCTTGCTGAGAGCTTGTCTTGAGGCTCCAGAGCGCCGTCGCTCCAGAACAGATCTGTGTCAGCGTAGCGTACCCATACCGTGTAGCTTAGTGCAGATTATGTTGTTTTCAAGACTTCTCTGAAGTAAATTCCCACAAACCAAATAAAGTTGTTAAAATTCTTGAAATTTCTCTTCCTACAGCTCAGGTTCAGGTATTATCCGCTGCACTGAAAGCTGCACAGCTTGATTCCGTGAATGAACCCGAGAGCAAGCCGACAGCAGGTCTAAATGAAGTGTCCATTTCAGATTCCAGCTCTGCCTCTGACAATCAGATCACTCTGTCGGCTTCATCATCTCACAATGAGCTCTCCGTGGCCAGGATATTACAAAGCACAGTAAGTGTTTGCCCTATCCCTCAGCCACCAACGATGTGACAGAAATCACAAAGCTGCATTTTCTTTTATTAATATATCCCAGCAGAGATGATAAATGGCAAATTTCACTTTATTCTTAAGGTCATGTTTTGGATAACTAGACAACCAATCAATCAGGTGATTGATAGTGCTGATGTGCTCCCACGAAAATGGGGTGGGCACCAGAAAGTACCTTCCCTCTTCTCCAGAGATGACAAGAACTTGTTCTTTGGGGAGATTAACCACGTAAATGCTCTGTGTCACTGCTAACATACAATGACATGTTTTAATAATAGTGGAGAGTGAATTCAGGCAGTTCCTGGAATTTCAAGGTGATGAGGCCTCCGAGAGTGGCCGTCACACCAGCCCCGTTTGCTAGGAGCTCTGGCATACGTGGGTGCTCCAGTGCTGGTCCTGGCACACTGTTTCTCAGAGGAGAGATTTTGAAAAAACACCAGTGACCCCCCTTTCTCCTGTGGGTGGAACCAGCTCCTTGTGAGACCAGGGCCCCAAAGCTGGAGTGAGGAGGGGCCCACGGTTTATTTATTTCAGGTTTCTCCAGAAGTTTGGGGGAGCCCTCTTGTAGCTGGAGGCTCCTGAGCCATTCTAGTTTCTACTAAGCTTCCACTTGGACCAGTTTAAGTTGGGGTCTTCCACAGTTAGGATTCAGAATAGAGGATTAAAATGAGGGAGGGGGCTGTCGCCATAAAGTCATTGGGATAGCACCCTGCCCTTATCATGTGCTATGATGAATAATCTCTTCAAATTCATGGTCTCCAGGGCCCCAATACCAATTGTTTCTCTATTCATACAGTTTATAATTTGATTTCAGTGATTTAACTTATTACCTCCTTCACCCCTTAGGCCTGCTCTAGTAAAGCAAAATAAAGCGTTTTAAAACTCAAACATAAAATGTGTAAGAGTTGGTTAAGATTATCTGTGATTAGTAAGAAATGAGATGATATCCTCTCCTGCTGGTTTGTTGCTAAAACATTAGTAAGAAAGCTCATTGTTGTCAACCTCGTTACCTAGAGTGCAAAAATGCAAGTGTTAAGTAGAAGGGCGTGACCACGTTTACCTTGGTGGGGATGTGATACTGACTTCTTTATCACAGACAGAGGTAAAAAGAAAAAAAGAGAGAGAACAGATTCCTCCCTGTTGGGTCTGGTTGAGTCTTTTGAGTTGAGGCTTTGAAAGGGTTTGTGTCATGGGGCCTTTGTTTTATGGTGTGGGAGGGCAGAGCCCTTGAATTTGCAGCTTGACTCCAGGGTCTTAGTGGGATTACTTAGGATGCTTCCTGTTGCAAAAGAAGGCAAAGAAACAAAAAACTTCAAGAACCATGAGGAAGATACTCACTTGCACAAGACAACAGGGAGAAACGCTGTGGTTGGGAGGCTTCTGGGCTGGGGGACTCCACACCCTTGGTGTCCCTCTGGGGCTTTTTTGGGGAAATGAACTCACAATACGTTTTAGGGGTGCCATGACTTGTGGTGCTTTGCTTAAGCCTTGATTTGGCTCCTGGAGTAAGTGCTGCACGTATGATTGCACTGAAGACTTTGGAATAAAATTAATTTCTAAAGGGATAATAGTGATTCCAATGACACATCTTGTTACTATATGTGAATTTATTAACTTGGAGAAATTGAGGTCTTAGGCTATGATACCAAAATATTTGTTTTATCATGTCCTCTGTTAAAATAAACAGTACACATTGGTGAAAACCTTGGGAATTGAAGGTTCTGGTGGTGTGCCTCAGAGCAAACGACGCATTTATTGGTGTATTAATCGACTTTTCTGGATCATATATTGAGCTGATTTGTCAGAATCCATTAAGCTGGTAGACAGTATGACATTTCAAGGAAATCCATGTATGGTTGAAGGAGAAGGTCAGGTCCATCCCAGTTAGTGTTAATCAATGATCAGAGACCAGTATGTCACCATTGAATGTTCTTGTTCATTTTAATTGTTAACCTAATGTAAAGGTTCATTAGCAAACATTAGGAGTGTTTGTACATGTGAAAAATCTAGGACCATTTTCTGAGTAAATACTCCTGTATCAGCCACATCTGTTCTGTCACTTTCATTGGGTTCCCCAGCCCCCATCCTCTCTCAGAGGCCGACCATTGCTGCAATCCCTGATTCCCAAAAATGCTGGAGGTGCTGGCTCTACCATTTCTTGCAGACCTCACCCTTCCTTCCTTAAACATGTGAATATTACTTAAAGGTGTTGGTTGGCCATACCAGGGAGTCGCTAGGCATAAGGAATAGTGGATGCAAACTCACAGGGTTGCTCCTCACTGCTTTCACTTTGGCCTTTGTCTTTCTGTAAGGACCTGCAGCAGTCTTGAAATTAAAATGTATTAAATCAATTTTCCTTAATACTTGCAAGAACTGATTTATATAATATCTTATGTAACTGTGCAAATGTAGTTTTTAACATCTGAAAAGATACCATTGACTTCAAGGAAAGCTCTTGCCTTGGCTTACAGAAGTAATTTCTGGCATTGAAAAAGGACTCTGAAGGGGAAGTGACAGGACAGCTGATTCCTTTGGAGCAAATTGGTTAACATGTCCAATCACCTCTGCAGGATGCAGGTGAACACAGAAATGGAACCAGTGACCATCTGGAGATGGACCAGAGGCAGGATCCCACCCCACTTGAAGAGAATAAATCAAAATTACAGGTTTGTTTCTTGGGGGGGGAAAAAAAAAAGCAACTGAAACTGTATATTTTCTGAAACTTAACTTTAAGAATGGCTGTTGGAACCAAATATTTTTTCTTCCATCAATGTTGATTACATATTTTAGCTCATATTTCATTTTGCTTATATTTTCTTTCTAACTTAAAAAAATTAATTGTACTGGTCTTCTGAACAACCTATAATAGTGTTTTTAATAAAATAAACTAATATGAGAAAAAATAGGACATCTAACAATGATAATCAGTATCTGTTTATTGAAGCTGTTGTTTTTTTTGTTTGAAAAGTTTTTGGCAGCTTCTTTTCTTGGACTGTTTGATTGAGTTCTGTCTTGTGGGTTGGCTTCTTGTGCTACTGTAAGTTTCCTTGAATGTTTGAAATCACTGGGACCCATTGCTGTCACTGAGATAAACATAAATGGGGGGATGTCACATGGTGGCCGTATTCCATCAGTTGGTAAAACATGGGCATGATTATCAGAGTATAAGGTCTCAGGTGCTAGGTTCTCAGGGCAGTTGTAAGAAAAGAGAAGCAAGGCTCCATTCTCAAAAGCTGGCTGTACCAGCCTAAGCAGACGTTGCTGTCTAGACTGTTCTCCATGATATCAAATATTGTGCCAATCTGAAAAAGATGAGTTCTGGGTGTTGCTTTCACTTCAATCAAAATTGAAAACCCACTGCCTGGAGAAAACTCTGGCAATCCGAAGCCCTTTGGCTTTAGGAAGGCCTCCTGTTCCTCTCACATTTCTGCTTTATTGTTTCCACCTCTCAATTCCAAACTCCTTGTTTTTCATGAGTATTTTTCTGCACGCATGATGGCCTCCTTTCCCTGTCATTTCGCAGGATATAATACCTCAGCCGCTGCTAGATCAGTATGTGTCCATGACTGACCCAGCTCGAGCCCAGACTGTCGATACTGACATCGCCACACACTGTGCCTACAGCCTCCCAGGGGTGGCGCTGACCCTGGGCAGGCAGAATTGGCATTGCCTGAAAGATACATATGAAACACTGGCTTCTGATGTACAGGTAAAGCCTTTTCAGAGGCACGTACAGAAGGAGGTGGGTCACCTCATTAGGGAGAAGAGGGAAGCTGCAGCCAGGCTCATTGACGTGAATTTTATGTGGATACTAAATTGGCATATTTACTGGTCTGTGATGAAATAAAGCTTTAAGTGGCTAACACCTGGTAGTATTCATTTTGCTCCAAAAATGCCACATAAGATGTGGAAGAGGTTGAATTGCACTGGCTTGTCGTGATTCGTGTGTCTGCTGTGCACCCCTAGTGGAAGGTGCGGCGAACCCTAGCCTTCTCCATTCACGAGCTGGCTGTGATTCTTGGGGATCAGTTAACAGCAGCTGACCTGGTGCCCATCTTCAATGGATTTTTAAAGGATCTGGATGAAGTGCGCATAGGAGTTCTTAAACACCTGTATGATTTTCTAAAGGTAGGAAGCAGGGTTAAAAGCAAAAAACAAGCCTCCCCTTTCCCAAGCAGATGTGGGAAGCCCTGGATGTGTATTGTGTCAGTGAAAAAAACAATGTGGTTGTTTAGCTTTTTCTTTAGCTGAAATGTACCACCCAGAATCTGAAAGTGGGTGTTCTTTCAGTGATGGGTAAATATTTTTAATTTTTTTCTCCTAATTTTCCTGTCCTTGTGGAAGATGGTAGACACATAGCCTGGCATACTCTTTGCAAAAGAAGAAACCAAGACCCCTGGGTAGTGACCTGACTTGCTCAGAAGTCACCCAGGGGAAGAGCCTGGGCTGAAGTCCAACTCTGTTCTTCACGAAGCACCTTTTCTGCAAGTTGCTGCTCCTTCCCTTCTGGCTCCCCCCCATCCCCCTGCAAAGGAATGATGAGTTTAAAAATGACCTAGAGAAACTAATTACTCTCATCCACACGACCAAGAGCTGCCCTTAGCAGACTGGTGTGTGCTGCTGGGCCGAGGTTCTCCCCCCCGGGGCACAGCAGCAGCCTCGCTCCCTGGAAGCGGCACCAGCAGGCTGTCTTCCCAACACACACAGACTGGGTTTTTGTTTGTTTGTTTTGGTTTTTAGGAAATTACAAAAGCAGGAAAACCTCAGGGGCATTCAGAAATACATAATAAGCACATGTCCTAGCCAGGGGAAAAGGTTGGAGGCGCTCAGGGATGCATTTGATGTCAGTGCACTGCAATGTTCATTCACAGCCACGCTGGGTAATAGACTACGAGGTGCAGGGGAGATGCAAAAGTTCTTGCCAGTGACAAATGTCTAATCGAAGCAGAATAAAGGCAGGCATTTGGGGTCATTTTGAAGGATTATACATGTTTGTTTATGTATACATTTTTAAAAAATAGTTGCTTCATGAAGACAAGAGGAGAGACTATCTTTACCAGCTTCAAGAATTTGTAGTGACTGATAACAGCAGGAATTGGAGGTTTCGATATGAACTGGCAGAGTAAGTAAAAACATATTTGGGGATATGAGAAAGTAAACTAGATGGAATAAATCTTAATTTTCTTACCATATAATTGATTTCTAAAGCAGCAGTAATAGTGTTCTTTTAGATAAAGAGATTATGTTTTTATTAAGGTATAAACAGAATTCCAAAAACCCTAAGTTACAAATACCACAGTCTCCGGGGAGACATTCATTTTCAGATGAAGACAGGGCTCGAGTCACTTTGGAATTAGAGTGTTCTGCTGTTCTAGAAGGCAATTTACTTGAACCAAATAAAAGATGAATCACCCACTCTTCAATATTGTTCTATTAATCGGAGCAGTTTTTGCCAGCTTTCCTGAACATTCTGAGCGTGGTCCTCTCCGTAGGGTGCAGCCTGCCTGATGCCCTTCAGCTGCCGTGGGAGACAGGAAGGGTCTAACCCAGATGAGATGATTACGAAATAAAAAGGTCCCCCAAGGTGCCTGCCAGCTGCACATTATTTCGTTCGTGAAGGAGTTATTTAATTCTGTCTTGTGCCGGCAAAAGGAATGTTCCAGGCATTAGTGATGATGAAGGGGTGGAAGCATCAGTTTAAGTAACTCCCCTTCCTAAGGTATATAATGTGCCTTTCATGGTGTGGAGGGAATTTGGGACTTAGTTTTCACCTTAATTGAGAATTCATTTCGGTGTCTATAGTTTTCCTTTTTCTCATCTACAACTAGAAATCTCTCAAATAATTGTCTTCCCCAGAGAAATTCATCAGGCTTTTGCAGCTATTCAGCATATGATTTGGCTGATGCCAGGGGCAAACCGAAAGCCTTTCTCTTTGCTGTGGTCTTTAATCATTCTGCTTAATTTGAGAGATAGAGGATGCAATCATTGTGCTGTGTTCCCAGAGTCCTGTTCTGAGTCGAGAAAAACAGGCCCATGTTTTCCATGAAAGCAGTGCGACCTCTAGCGGCGGTGCGCGGGAAGTGGCCGCGCTCGGTGCCGGGCGAGGCTGCTCCGGAAGGCAGCACGGCGCCAGCTCTGGACCGCGTTATCTCCCCCCGCGCGCCCTATCTCCCATCTCCCGGCTTATTGAAGCCACGGCGACTGTTATGAATTCTGTGCTCCCGTGCCCATGATATTGGTATCTTTTTTTTTTTTTTTTTTTTTTTTTTTTTTTTTAAACATTTTTTTTTGATATGAAAGTATTTACCAACACTCCTGGCTTCTGGTTCTAACTCTCTCCTCATCTCTTTTTCATTTCCTTTCGTTGCCTGGGTGAAAATAATGCCATTTATTTTCATGCCCTCCTCCCCATCCCCATTAAGAAAGTAGTGAAAGCTTTGGTAGTGGGTTTTTGCAGCCAGCTGTCTCCTGCATGCTTTTGTCTTTTGGAGTAAGGAGCACACGCTCCCAGTTCTCTCCAAGCGGACCTCGCTGCAGTGAAACCGCCTCGTGCTGCCGCGAGCCGCGAGCCGCGAGCAGGAGCATCCGGTTCGGTTTGCAGATGCAGGAGCCCTGGAGCGGCCGTGCAGTCTCGCAGTGCTGGCTTGATCTGTTGACCTCTGCGTACTTCAACTTTCTGGCTATTTTTATGTTATCTGATTTTTGAAGTTTTATGTGCTTTTCAACTGATAACCTAAAATTGAAATATTAAATCTGTATTCGTAAATTTCTCAGCCTCTGTTTTGCAGAGTTTTATTTCCTTTTTGTTTGATTTGTATGTGTATGAGATACATTTTACTGAAGACCGAAGTCTTGCTAGGTCTCTTGCTGTTTATTTCCCAGCCTGGCTATTTTTATCTATAAGATGAAAGGACAGTAAAAAGAAATCATTTTTTTTTTGCCCAAAAATAATTTTTTTTTTTTTTTAATTTCAGACAGCTGATACTGATTCTGGAACTCTATAGTCCTAATGATGTTTATGATTACTTAATGCACATTGCCTTAAAGTTGTGTGCAGATAAAGTTTCTGAAGTTCGGTGGATCTCCTTCAAACTAGTAAGGAATCAGGGCATTTGCTCTGTGATTTTTACAAATAGAATGTTTATGTATCTTCCATTTTAACTATTTAATTTTTTTCTGGGCTTAATTTGTCAGCTTACCTATGAAACTAACTTTAAATTTTCAAATTAGGAACTATATTATAATTTTATGAATTTGTAGGATAGCTTTTTTGTTAAGTTATATGTTTCAGTGAGGGAAATTGTGGATTAATTATTTTATATATGAAACCCTTTAAGCAATAGCTTAGTGTTTTTTAAAATACAGGTTGATTTACAGCGTGGTTTTGTAGAAAAATATTTAGTGAGCAATGACTCTGCTATAGAAAAGCTGATTCTGTTTTTTCTGTGGGTTTTATCAGCTGGATACTGGGGAAAAAAATCACATTTGAAAATACTGATTTTAAGATACTCTGATGGTATTAAAATTTTATAAAAATGTCATGTTCTGAAAGATAATGATTTAGTTATTATTAAGCGAGGGGACATGCTCTAAAATTTGGAACCTTTAGATTAATAAGGTATTTTTCTAATGTCGGTCTCCTTTTAAATTTCATTTCTATGAAGGGCTTTATGTATGTGTATGTACTGCCATATATTTAAACATCTTTTTTTCTCTGTGTTCTAATGATGACCTTGACAAAAATTACTTTCTCCTGTGCTTATAAATTCATTTTAAAGGTGGAAAGGTGCATAAAAATGTCTAGTTTCCATGTAGAGTAGCATTCATAATTCAAATAGATGGCAGCATTTTAAGTTTGCTCTTCTGATATTTTTCACAGGTTGTGGCAATTCTGCAGAAGTTCTATTCCAACAGCGAAAGTGCATTGGGGTTAAATTTCATCCATGAACTCATCATAAGGTTCCGGCACTGTTCTAAGTGGGTTGGAAGGCAAGCTTTCGCTTTCATCTGTCAGGTTAGCAAGACCCGAGCAGGGATCTACTCTGGGTATAACTCTGCCATGTTATGAAATCAAGTTTACCAGACAGAGAATCTCAGCCCTGGAGTACTAGCCAGGAACTGAGGAATTACTTACCGAGCCCTCTCATCTCGTAGGACATTGGGACCAATCAGTGTGGTGAAGGGACTTGCCCAGCATTACCCCAGGGCTTCCCCACTGGTGAATGAGTACCCCAGGCATACTCACTCACCACGTAGATACTGATTGAATACCTGCCGTGGTCCAGATAGATTGTAGATGCTAAAGACAGAGTGGACAAACCTCTGCTCTCCCCACTTCCATCCAGTAAGGTAAGGGTCAGGCCCACAGTCCACTCCCATCCTGTCCAGGTTGGTGTCCACCACTGCACCTCACCTTAGCCAGTGGCCTTGGAAGGACGGCGGGATGAATTGGGCGGGGGGTTGGGGCAGAGATGTTAACCTCTTTAGAGTTATATCATACATAGAGTTCATATCATCCTGCCCAGCTCCCCAGATCGCCCTGTCTACTCAGCCTCTTGGAAATGAGGGTGTGATTTGTGTTTGCCTAGGGGCAAAGGTAGTGATAATGGCTGCTATTTCTTGAATACCTCTTGTGTGCCAGGCATCATGCCATACATTTAATTCTCTAATAAAAGGTAATGTGTTATGGTGGGTGCCTTTAATCCCAGCTACTTGGGAGGCTGAGGCAGGAGAATCGCTAATCGCTTGAACCCGGGTGGTGGAGTTTGCAGTGAGCTGAGATTGCACCACTCCATTCCAGCCTGGGCAACAGAGCGAGACTCTATCTCAAAAAAAAAAAAGTAATGTGTATTGAGCACAGCATACCTGTCTACCTTTAGACCGTCTCTTTTAGGTGAAACATTTGAAGCCCAGAGAGGTTAAGTCACTTGTTCATGATCACACAGGAAGCGTAAACCTGTAATTTTTTTTCTGCTAAAGTATTGTTTTAAACATTTTAACTTTATTATGCACGTTTTCAAGCATATACAAAGGTAGAGGGAATGGTGTAATGAATCGCTGTGAACCTGCCACCCAGCTTTGTTGATAGTACGATAAAGCTGGGTTGGGGGACCGTATCTGACCCCAGACCAAAGCCTCCTTTTTGTCCCTGATGACCACGGGCACCAGATGACTCATCAGCGCCCCCTGTTGGGCCAGTGGGACATTACAGGGGTGCCATAGCAGTCTGCTCTGAGGTCAGTGGATGGCGGAGTGAACAGCAAACTCAAAACCACAGACTTGACAGCACGGCCGTCTGTAAAGGAAAAGTCAGTGTTCCAAGTCAATTTGCAGAGAAAGCTTAAAGGAAACACTTTTTGCTTTTATTTTTAAATTATTTTTCTGAGATTAGAAAATCTGAAATGACTCTTGCAACTCGGGGTGGGGGGGAAGAATGGGAAGGGTGAGGGGTAAAAGACTACACATTGGGTGCCATGTGCACTGCTTAAAGGGGGCCAGGAATATGTGCTTGCTTTCTAGTGTTGTTATGGGCTTCTGTGGGCTGACAGATCTAAGCTACCTAGCGTGGTGCCTGGCACCTGGGGAACACTGGCACTGGTCATCACAGCGCCTATTTACCACGACACAAATTACCCTGTACTAGAAGAGCCACAGGACTTAGAATCCACACTTTGGCTTGCAGTCCCCACCCTGCTGCCACTTGGTGGTGATGAGACCTTTGGCTGTCACCACCACATTGGAAATGAATTGTTTTCACCTGTAAAACCAGGCTGCTGTTGAATTCCAAGGCTAGTCTTGGGAATTAAGTGAGAGGATACATGTAAAGTCTTGTAAGTGGAGAAGCTGTGTGCACATGCTGAGGGTTATCACAGGACTGTGTTTACTGATTATTTACAGAGGTCTGGGCATTGGGTTATGGTTTGAGATTTGACTGTCATTTGACAGCATAGCCACCGTGAGTGACAGGTGAGGGTTCTTGATCCTTACTGGTCAGCTGTGTGCAGTGTGGTGGCATACTCCTAGATGCCTTGCATAACAGACCAGTCATCATACAGATGAGGAAACTGAGGCTCGTAAATGTTAAGCCACTTAACCTGAAGCCACGTAGCTACTAAGACCAAGTTAGATTTTGAACCTAGACCTTTCTGACTCCATAGCCCATCAGATCTTAACCTACTTGGAACCCAGTGCTTGGTAGTGAATTATAACAAAATATTAACTGTGTTTCTAACCAAATGCAGTGCTTGAGATTAAAAAATTCACACACACGCCTCAAACCTACAGATTCTGAAATGACTTCTTTGGGATTAAAGAAGTGTATGTTTCTAGAAGACTGCTGGAAAACATCACTTCTTTGGCTGTGACTTTCTTGGAGCAGGCAGTGGTGAGCAAGGAGTGCATCCCCATGGACCAGTTCGTGGAGCACCTGCTTCCCAGCCTTCTGAGCCTCGCATCAGATCCTGTGCCCAATGTGAGGGTTCTGCTAGCCAAGGCCCTAAGGCAGGTGCTGTTGGAAAAGGGTAGGTGGAGCACTTTTCGGAACTCATGCATTTCAGGCAACCTCCATCAGTTGTTAAAGGCCACAACTAGATTTCCTCTAGGAAATTAAGGCAGGTTGTGTGACACCACACTTAAGGTTTATTTCGTAAATGAATATGTTAATTCTATGCATCATTTTATGTTATTTGTAAAATGACTAAGGAAATGAATGTAATTCAGTCTTCACATTTAATAAACATATGCTAAAATGCAAAATATTACATAGCTTTCCAAAAATGAGAGAATCTTAAAAATTTTGAGTTATGACATGAAAGATTGTGAAAGATAGCAAATGTAAGCCTTAACTGCTATTATGTTTTAATGGTATTATTTTGTGGTCAGTTAAAAAACATTTGTAACCCAACTAGTTGGTTATTTACACCTGGACAGGACTTAATAAACGCTTTGTGTTTCTTGGATAGTTTATTTCTACACCACACATATAAGAAAAATATCTTGAACTCTGCCCCCCACGTACATTTCTTGCCACTTCACCCCCTGCCCCACCCTCCCTGCAGCCTACTCCTGCTCCACACATTGCCATTTCTTTTGTGTTGGCAGGAAAAAAAAAAGATAGTTACTATAAGTTTTAAAATATGCATAACTGTTAGGAGTCCATCTTTAACATTTTAGAAATATTCTTTGATTAAGGCAGTTTGTCATTTGAAAGCACTTAAAAATGATCTATTGTCCTGACATGTGGCTAACAAAAAACCAAAATTAGAGTATGTTTTGAATACAGTTCATGGCACACATGATTCAGACTCATGGTTTCTCTCTTTAGCGTATTTTAGAAATGCCGGTAACCCTCATCTTGAAGTCGTTGAAGAGACCATCTTGGCTTTGCAGTCAGACCGGGACCAAGATGTTTCCTTTTTTGCAACCCTAGAACCAAAGCGGCGGAATACCATAGACACTACTGTACTAGAAAAACAGAATTAACTACTCTATGATGAATCACAGTCTGGCTGTTTCATGCTTGACACATATGGCTTATAATAACTTGAAGGGGAACTGATTATACTATACCAGCTGGGGGAGATTTCGGAACCTTTCATACTGTGCACTCAAAGACTGAATGATTGACCCCTCTCCCATCTGTACCCTGAAGGGACTGAAGCTGATTAGGGCTTTTTCTGGATGGCTGAGCCATCCTGATCAGTAAGTCTGTGGAAAGGCTGCAGACCAGGTGGCTAACTGGGCACTGGAGCCTCTGAACCATCAGGCTGCTTGCTGGCACGTTATTTTCTCCATGGCAGACTGTGTGATCTGAAGTCCCCCCACCCTTGCCGAGTAGTTTATTAGAAGCTCTTAAGTCTTTTATAGACCTGCATATTTCCTTCCCTAATGGTTTCCTATAAAATATAGCTTATGGCATTATATTTTATTTTTAAATGAATTACTGTACTTATATAAATAACTCTTGACAGGAAGAAAATATATTAATGTAGTATTTGCCCCCATCAGTGAGCTGAACAAATATATCATTTAAATCTATGCTCCACTTTGAGTTGCTACAAATATAGTTCAGTTTGTTTACTTTCAAAAAATGTGATAAAGAAATCTAAAGAATGATTGATGGCAGTCTTTCTCATATTGTGCCTTTGTTACAATCTCTGCTGGAACTTTTCCTCAGACACGTACTCCTCCCCTCCTGACAGGAACTGTTTCCCGAAAGATGTGTGTTGGCCTTTGATGATAGAGGCATAAAGCTGAAAGATTTTTCACTTTTACATGGATATGCTATCATATGTTTAAGAACTTGGGAGGGAGATTGGTAACATATTTTTTCATTTTTATATGGATATGTTATATGTCTAAGAACCTGGGAGGAAAATTAATAACCGAGATGCATGGATATTGACTTTATATCTAATGCTTTAGAATCTTAACCAAAAAAAGGAAAACCTGGTTCTGATCAGAACCTGCCCACAAGTTCTATGCACCTGTGATTTTGGAGGTCAAATGAAATACTCTTCAAATTGACTTAAGAAGTACACAACTCTTAGAGTTCATGCATTTAAAATTTTGACTAAGAAAGATGCTCTAGAATTTCACCAGGTTTTTAAAAATTAATAGTTTAAGATTTTCTAACCATTTGAACAAATTTCACATACATGTATGCACATGTCATTTTTCTTGTTTCTATTTTTATGTTCTCAGAGGTAGAATAAGGGAAGAAAGGAGGAAACGGCCCATTTGGGGTTTCAGCACTAGCTCTGCTGGGGGTTTGTAAGCTATTTTTATTCTTTCCTTCGATCTTTTTCTTGTTTGTATTGTCTTTATTTTTTAAGGAAATTTTTGAAGCTATGTATTGAATTTCCTAGTATACAGGGTGTTACCCCCACCTCCAAATTCTATTTAAGTAATTATTTTAAAAGAAAGACAGGAGTATATACACCATGGTAAAAATAATAATAATAATGATAAGGTTCATGTGTGAGACTTACAAACCGTACCCCAGGGTGGCATTTAGGCAATGTCTAAAAGTGAGTTAATAAGTCAGTTAATAAACTGGAAGCTACGTATTTTTAAAAAAATGGTCAATTTGTCTTGTGTTTAATATTTGCCTGAAGTAAATGGAGATATTGTTTTGCCTTGGTAAGTAGCAATTTTTAATTTTTTTATTGCCTACAAATTGAGAGTGTTTTTTAAAAAATCTGTGGGTCTAGCAGCAAGTAGAATTATTCAGCTGGAATCTTGTATTCTATACAGAGCTTAATTTTCCATTAAGGAAAAAAATGAGCTTCAGTTTGTGTTGTGATGTGTATAATTTGCATGCTGAATCACAACGTGCTTGGAGAGCTTGTAGACTCTTTGGTAAATAATCTAACCTTTACAATTTCAGTTTCTACGTTAACATTTTTCTATAATATGAGTTCCTTTCCAATGCAAGGATATTTTTCATGGCAGTAATTTCTCTGTAAAAATAATTTTTAAGCTTACATTTTACTCATTTTTGCAACAACTGAGATTTTTCCAAGACTGTTCTGTTTCCTCCTGCCCTCATAGCTGCCACCCCCATCACTTCAGCACTTGTGTTTTCTTATTATTCATGGGTACCATGTTGAGTGTTTGTAATTTGACCACCACAGGTAAGCTTCCTGTTTACTTGAACGCGCAGCCTCATCTCGGGTGAATGAATGGAAAATCACAGATGAGTTTCTTCCAGGCAGAGCTGACTCCAAAGGTATCTTAACAATAGAACCATCCCAGCCTTTCTAGAGTGGACATTTCCCCACTTAAGAGTGTTTATCAGCATCTTTCTGCCATCAAGAATTCAAGAGCATTTTCAAAATTGATAGATTTTGATGCAGTTTTGCAAGTTTCCATGAAAGGCTGCCTCCCACTTCTGGGGTCCACTCTCAAGTCGGGACTAGATTTGCTTCAGGGAGTCATGTTTATGAAATGTTTTTTTTTTTCGTTCATGGTAGAAGTGTTTTTATAACGAAAGTCTGCACTTTACAACTCTGTAGGCCATGCATGCAATGGACTGAGAGCCTTGTTCACGTGTAATTCCTCCAGGTAACTCATCCCAATTTATGCAAAGATCGTATTTTAAACAGACGCGGAGAAGTGATAACCTTTTCCTAACAGCAGCAAGAATGCCCCTTCCGTTTGCCTGGTGAAAAGAACTGACATTAACAGCAGCTTGGAGGCTGCAAGGAGGTGGGGACATGGCCTGAGCTCCGGCCAGGGGCCCAGTGCAGGTCATCGGAGCGTGGCCGCTCGGCGATGTCTCTGTATTTATCAATAAATCTCCCGGTTGTTTTGAGCACCTGTGACCTGTTCCATTATTTAAAAACCGTCTCCTGCGGCCACGTGCAACCCCGCCTTTGTTCATCACCGGGGCGGGAAAGGACCGCGGGGCCCTTGGGCGACGCCCGCCCGTCGGTCCCCTTGGGGGCTCGGGTGGCGGGCAGGGAGGGGCCTCGCCGTGGGTCTGGAGGGGGTGGCCTCGGCCGGGCCTGGACGTCACAGTGGAGCCCGGGGCTCGCGGGGCGTCAGGGCGGGGGCGGTGATGACGCGTGGCCGCCGCACTCGAGCCGGGGATGACGCGCGGCCGCGGCGGGGCCATGCAGCGGGCGGCGGCGGGGGCAGGCGGAGCGCGGGCGGCGGGGCCGCTGCGGGGCGCCCCTCTCCTGGACCCCAATGCGGGACGCAGGGGCGGTGCGGGAGCTGGGGTGCAGGGACGCGGCGGGCCCAGGGTGGGCTCGGCGGGCTCGCGGCCCCTCCCCGCGCAGCCCCCGGCCCGGGCTCGCGGCTGGAGCCAGCGGCTCGTCGGTGACCCGAAGGCCACGAGCGCGTCGCCCGACTTGGCACCTGATGTCTTCGTCCTCCGGGTGCGCCTGGAGGAGACAGGGGAGATGTTCCGAGTGGCAAACTGCCGCGGCGACATGACCGTGCGGGAGCTCAAAGAGGAGCTGGACCTGATGGTCGGCATCCCCTTCAACCTCCAGCGGCTCCAGTACCTCGACGAAGGTGACTCCTGCCCTGACCCCTTCCCTGGCCACATGCAAGGGAACCCAGTCCACTTCTGAAGCTGGATTCCCAAAGGGAAGTCTGCTTATGTGAGGACCCCCAGATGTCAAAGCAAACCCCAGCCACCCTGAAACCCAGATGGAAGGGCCACTTAGGGTCCTGGCCACAGAGGGACTGCCCAATCTCAGACACACAGGTTCACATTGGACTCCCAATCAAGGCAAACCTTGTCCACAGCAGGACCCTAATCCACAAGCAGGTCCTACCTGGATGGGCTGCATCTGCCAACCCTGAGCGAATCCTGTCCATGCCAGGATCCCAGGGGAAGCCTGACCCTCAGGCTCCCCATGTCTTCATAAGAGACCTGGGTCCTAAAGTCAACTCTGTTCATGTAAGACTTGTCTGAAACAAAGCCTGTCCTCAGCAGGACCCCCAAACCCAGGATAAGCCTGCCCATGTCAGGACCCCAAACTCAGAGCAAACCCCAAATCCTCCTCCATGCTGGTCTTGAGAACATCAGAATCCCATATCCTTTAGCCAACCATGTGCATGCAAGCATGCCAAACCTGGAACAAATCCTGCTGACCTCAGGACTCAAAAACCCAGAACAGAATTGTCTAACACCAAAACCCAAATCTCTAGGCTAACCATGACTACCTCATAACCCCAAATCCTCCAGCAACCGCATCCCCCTAGGATGCCAAGGCTTGAACAAACCTTGACCACCTCAGGACCCCAAAATCCAGAGCAAACATGCCCAACTGAACCCCAAATCTCCAGGCTACCCATGACTACCTCAGAACCCCAAAATTTCCAGCCAGTTTGGTCTTGCAGGGATGACAAATCAAAACAAACCCTGTCCATCTCAGGACCCCAAAATCAAGAACAAACCTGCCCAAGACTGAACCCCAAATCTCCAGGCTAACCATGACTATCTCAGAACCCCCAACCCTCCAGCAACTGTGTCCATGCAAAGAGGTCAAAGTGGAAACAAACTCTGTCCACGTTAGGACCCCAAAACCAAGAACAAACCCGGCTAAATCTGAAACCCCGAATTGCCAGACTAACCATGTAACTATTAGGACCCCAAATCCTCCACAACCATGTCCACACAAGGTTGCTAAAGTCTGAAACAAACCCTGCCCACCTCAAGACCCTATGTCTATATTGCAAAGTCTGCTCATGTTTAAGCCTCAAATCCTGAAGCTGTGACTGGCTGTAACAGAACCCTAAATGTCAGAGCAGACTCTCCCCACATCACGACCCTCAACTGCTCAATTCTGGACCCCCAGTCTTCAACTAACCTGTGCATCTGGACCCCAATCTATTAGCCACTTCTGTCTACATAAGGATGACAGAACCCAAAATGAACCCTGCCCACATATGGACCCCAAAATTCAAAGCCAACTCTGCTTACATCTGAAAGGCAGTCACCGAGCTCACCAGGACTATACCAGAACCCAAATCCATGCAAAATGTCTTCATAAGGGCTCCAAAGAATGAAACAAACTCTGCCCACAACAGGATCCCAAAGCTCAAGTCAAACCGATCCATATATGAATCCCCAGATGTGAAACTTTTGTCTACCTCAGCACTCCAAGGTCGAAGCCAGCCATGTCCATGTAAGGAAGTCAAGGTTAAAACCAAACCCTGCCTCCCTGAGGACCCCAAAGCTCAAAGCAAACTTTTCTTGTATTTGTAACCCAAATCTTTCAGCCAACTTTAATTGTACCAGAACCCCAAATTACAGACCAAATCCTGCATATAGCAGGGCCCCAAATTTTGAAGCAGATTTTATCACCATGAAGACCCCCAAATCTCAGGGCAGATGTGGTCGATTCCTACTCTCCAAATGCCACACTGCTCAGGACTACATCAGATCCCCACATCCCAAAACAAGTCCTGCCCGTACAAGGACTCCAAATCCCAGAACAGACCTTTTCACATCAGGACCCCCAAATGACAGCAAACCTTACTTTAATCAGAACCCCTAATCCAGAGTAAACTGCCCTCATAGGACCCTGAGTCTCAAGGCAAATGCTGCTATCCACATTTGAACCCCGAATACTGGCACTAATGCAGTCCATATCAGAACCCCAAATTCCAAGCTGTGTCCTTGTTCACATCGGGAGCTCAAAGCTAGTCCAGCTGGAATCAGAACCTAGAGATGAAAGTTTCCCATGACTGAATTAGGACCCCAAGGGCCCGGCTCCAGAGAAGTCCCATGTGACAGGCACCCTAGAGCCCATCTCTCGTTCCATCAGTCTCCTTCCCTGACCTGAAGACGTGGCTTTCCCTATCCCGATTCCCTAAAATATTTAGGACATGAGAACAGCATCAAAGCCCCTGGGCTCCATCATCTCCCCACCCATTTGAAATCAATGCAAAACACTTCAAGAAAATGAAGATATAAAAAAAAAAAATCTCTGAGCTGCTGCACAGAGAATGTGAACAGCTGATACTGCAGAGAGACTGCAGCTGTACTGCAGGGGCTGGGGAGCAAAGGAGACAAACAGATCGGAGAGCAGCCTGCCTCCACGGGCTTGGTGCTGCAGACACTGCCCTGCGGGGCCCAGTTCCCTAATGTGTAACACAGAGCCACCAGCTCTACAATTCTCAGAGCTGTTTCCCCGCTACGGACAGAAAAGATTTGGGAAACTTGAAATGCACAGCAAAAGCCAAAATATCTTCCTTTGCTCTCTTCAAAATAGGTTGAGCATTGTTCGTGACATATTTATTTTCCTATAGGAGTATTTGGAAGATGCTCTTGGCATTTTTGGAGCTTTCTTCGGAAAGGAATGTGTTTTGAGCCTTGTCTGTATTTAACATATTAAAAGTGAGGAGAGTTATTGAAGGATTTAGTAAGAGTTCCCAAAGAAGTAATTTGCAAGTTATCCTTAACTCAAATGCCTCACACCCTTTCTGTTCATTTATTTTCACTGATGAGCTATGCTGAGCTATAAATTCAAGAAAGCTAAGAGGGAACGAGAGAGAGGGGGTGACTTACCACTGATGTCACAGGACTATCACTCAACAGGCACTTAGCAACTGTTAGAGGCTCGACCTCTCTCTGCTGTTGCAGTCCTTGCTGTGGGCGGCAAACAAGAAAGACAGAAGGTGCTAGTCGTTATTAGGAGAAATTTGAGCTACTGCCTATAAATAATCCTCTGAGGCCTCTCCTACCTACCTCAAAGTTTGGGCAGGGGGTTGGGAGAGATCAAATGAGATCATGTGTGTGAAAACCTTGAGAATCACAAATCTAAATGGGGCGAGCAAATCCATAGGCTAGGATTGCCCTTACACGTCTGTTGTCGACTTTGATAATTTATTTGGCTGGTGATAATTAGTATTTGTCTAAGCCCAAGGCAGTGGCTGCCTGACTGTAGAAAGAGGATGTGCTTGGATTTCCGCAGGAGCTGTGCAGCAGGTGGGAGCTGCACTCTGGCACGTCTCAGGGAAACACAGCTCTACTCAATAGTCTCAAAGTTGTAAGGAGAGGTTGTCTTACTTAGACTAATTGTAGGTTATCTTCTGCATCTGAACCACAAATAGGACACTAATTAGCAGATTTGCTAATCACCATTCTGGGTTTACAGCTGCCATCCTGAGTTTCTGCTAGCAAATTGGTGCCCATAGAGCCAAGAGGGGGAAGCCAGTGGCCCTGGAGGGAGGCAGGTCCGGTGCCAGCACTGGCATGGCCGTTTACAGGCTATGTGAGCCTCGGTTTGCTTATCAGCAGGTGGAGATAACAAACCTCCTTGGAGGGCTGTCCTAAGATGAAAGAATATAGGTGCTCAGTCTGGGCACCAAGTCATCACTAAGTACCTAGTACATGGCGCAGAGCAGCGCATCATGACCCCAGAAAACTCACGAATCCCAGTCACTTGGAGTGTCATCTCACCTAGGCAGAGCCAAAACCTAATGTTGGTGTCGTTGCTCATGAAGAAAGCATGAGGTAGAAGCAGCTCTGGCACCCCGAGTGCAAATGAAGTGGATGTCAGCATCAGCTCCTCACATCACATCGGCTCTCAGCTGGGGGAGTTTTGCCCCCAAAGCCCATTTGGCAATATATAGAAACTTTTTTCTTTTTTAAGACAGGGTTTCACTCTATTGCCCAGTCTGGAATGCAGTGCTGCAATCTTGGCTCACTGCAACCTCTGCCTCCTAGCTCAGGTGATCCTCCCACCTCAGCCTCCTGAATAGCTGGGACCACAGGTGTGAGCCATCAGGCTCAGATAATTTTTGTATTTTGTAGAGACAGGTTTTTGCCATGTTGCCCAGGCTAGTCTCGAACTTC